GGATCAAAATTGAATTTTAAGGACTTTACACCATAATGAAATGTTTCCTTTTATCCAAATTTTGTGACTGAGAAAAATTTTTTTACAGTATTCAGAGATGTTCTTTGATGTGCTTTCTTGTTCTTTGGTTTGGAGGTGAATGGGGAGGCTTTTATGATTAGTATGTAAGATATAATTTATACTGTGTGTAGCACAAGGGATAGAATTCTTTTTTTTTTTTTTTTAAGAGTGACAGAGGGAGAGATAGAGGGAGGAAGATCTTCCATCCATTAGTTCACTCCTGAAATGGCTGCAACAGCCAAGTGTGGGCCAGGCAGAAGCGAGGAGCCAGGAATTCCATCCTGGTCTCTCATATGGGTGACAAGGCCCCAGCTAGATGGTTCATCATCTGCTGCCTTCCTGGCTACTTTGATTCTGATCCAGCTTCTTGTTAAAGTGCCCGGGAAGCAGCAGATCACAGCTGAAGTACTTAAGTTCCTGCTGTCTACACTGGGGACCTGAATGGATTTCTGGGCTCCTGGTTTCTGCCCTGCTCAACCCTGGCTGTTGTGGTCACTTGTGGAGTGAACCAGCAGGTGGAAGAGCCTCCCTTTCTGTTATTATCTCCCTATCACTATGCCTTTAAAATAAATAAATATTAAAAAAGGAAAATTTTACTACTAAAAATTATTTATTGAGAAAAATACAGAGAAAGAGCTCCCATCTGCTGGTTCACTTTCTTTTTTATTTTATTTTTTAAAAGATTTATTTTATTATTTATTAGAGAGGCAGAGAGAGGGAGGGAGGGAGGGAGGGAGGGAGGTTGGTTGGTTGGTTGGTTGGTCGTCACCTGCTGGTTCATTCTTGAAGTGGCCCCAGTGGCCAGAGCTGTGCTGATCTGAAGCCAGGAGCCAGGAGCTTCTTCCAGGTTTCCCATGTGTGTGCAGAGGCTCAAAGACTTGGGCCATCTTCTGCTGCTTTCCCAGGCCACAGCAGAGAGTTGGATTGGGAGTAGAACAGTTGAGACTCGAACCAGCACCCATATGGGATGATGGTACGGCAGGCTGCGGCTTTAACCACTATGCCACAGCACCAGCCCCAGGAAAAGAGATCTTTTATCAGCTGGTTCACTCTCCAAATGGCTGCAACAGTCAGGGCTAGGCCAGGCCAAAGCCAGGAGCCTTCAGCCTTATACTGGTCTCCCATGTGGACGGCAGGGGTCCAGGTACGGACCATTTTCAGAGGCTTTCCTAGGCACATTTGCTGGGAGCTGGATCAGAAGCAGCATAGCTGGGACTTGAATCAGTCTGATCTGGGATTCTGGAGTTGCAGGACATGGCTTAACCCGCTGTGCCACAACACCAGCCTGTATTTTTTTTTTTTTTTTGACAGGCAGAGTGGACAGTGAGAGAGAGAGACAGAGAGAAAGGTCTTCCTTTGCCATTGGTTCACCCTCCAATGGCCGCCGCGGCCGGCGCACTGCGGCCGGCGCACCGCGCTGATCCGATGGCAGGAGCCAGGAGCCAGGTGCTTCTCCTGGTCTCCCATGGGGTGCAGGGTCCAAGCACCTGGGCCATCCTCCACTGCACTCCCCGGCCACAGCAGAGAGCTGGCCTGGAAGAGGGGCAACCGGGACAGAATCCGGTGCCCCAACCAGGACTAGAACCCGGTGTGCCGGCGCCGCTAGGCGGAGGATTAGCCTAGTGAGCCGCGGCGCCGGTCCAGCCTGTATTTTTTAAAATAGTATAATTTTAAAACGTATTTTTAACTAGTTATTTTTAAGAAATTAAATTTTTATTTTTTTTTATAGAGATTTATTTATTTAAAAGGCAGAAACAGAGAGGGAGGGCAGAAAGAGAGATCTTCCTTCTGCTGACTCACTCCCGAAATAGCTGCAATGCCCAGGGCTGAGCAGGGCTGAAGCCAGAAACCAGGAGCTGCTTCTGGTCTCTCATGTGGGTGCAGGGGCCCAAGGATTTGAATCATCCTCCACTGCTTTCCCAAACACATCAGCAGGGAGCTGGATCAGAAGTGGAGCAGCTGGGACTTAAACTGGTACCTGCATGGGATGCTGGCACTGCGGGTAGAGGCTTAACCTTGTATGCCACAGCGCTGGCTCCTAAATTTTTATTTGTTTTTGAAAGGCAGAAAGAGAGACACAATATAATTTTGAAAATTAAACAACAAAAAAAAGTTAAATCGGGGCCAGCACTGTGGTGCAGAGGGTTAACACCCTGGCCTGAAGCGCCGGCATCCCATATGGGCGCCGGTTCAGGACCAGGCTCCTCTACTTCCGATCCAACTCTCTGCTATGGCGTAGGAGGGCAGTGGAGGATGGCCCACTTGGGCCCCTGCACCCATGTGGGAGACCCAGAGGAAGCTTCTGGCTCCTGGCTTCAGATCGGCACAGCTCTGGCCATTGCGGCCATCTGGAGAATAAACTAGCGGATGGAAGACCTCTCTCTCTGTCTTTGCCTCTCAGTCTCTGTGTAACTCTGACTTTCAAATAAATAAATCTTTAAAAAAATGTTAAATGAGTACCTTTTCAGTTCAAAACAATATGAACTTAGTTATGCAAGTTAATAAATAACTTAAGCTTATCTAAGATTAGCTAACATGGCAGATTTTTGTGCTAGATACTGAATAGAGGAAAATCTAGACCAGAAATTCAGGAAATGGGTATTCATAAATCTCTGTCTTTAAGGATTTATTTATTTATTTATTTTGAAAGAATTACAGAGAGAGGTGGAGAGAGAGCGAGAGCGAGTGAGCATGAGAATGCTCTTCCACCCTCTGGTTTATTCCCAAAATGGCCACAGTGGCCAGGACTGGGCCAGGCCAAAGCCAGGAGTCAGGAGCTTCATCCAAGTCTCCCATATAGATGCAAAGGCCCAAGCACTTGGGCCATCTTCCATTGCCATCCCAGGCACAGTAGCAGGAAGCTGGATCAGAAGTGGAGCAGATGAGGCTGGCGCCGCGGCTCACTAGGCTAATCCTCTGCCTGTGGTGCTGGCTCCCCGGGTTCTAGTCCCGGTTGGGGCACTGGATTCTGTTCCGGTTGCTCCTCTTCCAGTCCAGCTCTCTGCTGTGGCCCGGGGGTGCAGTGGAGGATGGCCCAGGTCCTTGGGCCCTGCACCTGGCTTCTGGCTTCAGATCGGCACAGCGTGGCCATCTCTCTCCCTCCCCCTCCCCCTCCCCTCCCCCTCTCCCTCTCCCTCTCCCCCACTGTCTAACTCTGGCTCTCCCCCCCCTCCCTCTCCCTCTCCCCCCTCCCCCTCCCTCTCCCTCTCCCCCTCCCCCTCTCCCTCTCCCCCACTGTCTAACTCTGCCTGTCACCAAAAAAAAAAAAAAAAAAAAAAAGAAGTGGAGCAGCTGAGACTTGAACCCATGGCCATATGGCATGCTGGCATTGCAGGCTGCAATTTTACATTGCTGTGCCACAATGCTGGCCTGCGAATTGCAGATATTAGCAACTTCCAACATGATCTCTAGGCATAATTCACAATTCTGAACCACGTTTTAGAAAAACATTTCTGACAATCTACAAAGGATTTATTCATGTTCTGTCATAGTTACAATTGCACTTGTTGCTGTGGCAACTTTACTTCTGCTACAAACTTTAAGACTGATGTGAAAAGTGTACTTTTAGGAACACTGAGTACTTTGTCCAGCAACCCTGCATCTGATGTCAGCGTGATTTTTTTTTTTAATATTTTATTTATTTGAGAAGTAGAATTACAGACATTATGTACAGACTTTACGGTTTGGAATGAATTTCCGCATGTAACATTTTGTTTTCTGCTTGCAAACGCTAATTGGTTCCACATGGAGAGAGAGAAAGAGACAGACAGACAGACAGACATACATAGAGAAAGGTCTTCCAGCCATTGGTTTTTTCCCAAATAGCTATGGGGCTGGAGCTGAGCCAATCAGATCTGGAGCCAGGAGCCTCCTCCATGTCTCCCACATGGACACAAGGACCCAAGCACTTGGGCCATCTTCTGCTTTCCCAGGCCTTAAGCAGAGAGCTGGATTGGAAGAGGAGCAGCTGGGATATAAACTAGTACCAGTAGGGGATGCTGGCATGGATGTTTAGCCCACTAGCCATAGCATCAGCTCAGTCAGTGTGATTTAATGGAAGTCTTTGACATAGTAGTTCTAAACAGAGACCTCACACTTATGCTGCTACTTAGTCCCAATTCCTCTTAGACTCTTACTTTTTATGATACTGTTACTCTCTACTTTGATACTATGTTGATTGAGAAAAATGATCACTGTAATACTCTGGCTACATTGAACCATTATGATTGAATAGTTTGATGTTACTCTTGGCAATCTTGCACATGTACTTGAGAATACACAAGAGTGACTGTCCCTGTTGTCAGGTACGCACACAAGACAAGGAGGCGCTAAGGCTTAGCCTGCCTGAGTTGGTGAAGATGTATTTGAACCACTTTGAAACTCATATGGTTTGCTACATAATTTAGATGGAGAAAGGAAGTTAGCCAAGGGTACCACAGCTTGTTGTCCTTGTCTCATACACCAAAAAGAATGACACTGAAGCAGGAGGGGATGGGAAGTATAATTTTTAAATGCCTTCATTGCTGGAAAGCCAGCTCTAGACTGTAGCTAGAGTTTTATAGTCTGTGGCTCTATTTTAAGGAAATGAGGCAGACAGCCTTACTCTCTCTTCAGAGCTGGATATGTGATGAGAAGTGTCTCATGACAGCCTAACACAGGAGACAAGTAGGTGTTCTCACACTGCAATGCAGGCATTAAGCAATGCAGGCATTATTTCAAGAAAGTAATATTTTAGTGTGTGTGTGTGTGTATGTGTATCCAGTGTAGAGTATACTTTGCATTGTGGCTAAGAAACATTCCCATAAATATTCTTTGTCTGTTTTAAATATCACTGAAAATGTGTGCTTAATTTTAAAACCAAAATGTACTATTTTGTAGTTTTAATTTATTAGTGAAATCCATAATATATCATGAACAAATTTGTTGCTGTTTTTTTGCAGTTAGCTTCTGGAATTTATAGTTTTGCCTGCTCTCTGTGGAATCACCATACAGACACATTCCTGCAACAAGTTTCTTCAGGCAATGAAACTGCAGTTCTTAGTTCACTTGAACGAACTCTGCTGTCATTAAAAGGTACTGTTATACTTGGTATATTCATTTTGAAACAGCCTACCTCAGAACAGTCACCAGATAGTTCCTGCAGATGGGTTTTATGTTTCCCATTGCACTAAAGGCAAGGCTTATTATGGTTTGTTTTTCTTTTATCAGAATAGCTCCTCCTCTACCCTGTGTAACTTAGGAAAGCTCATACAGCCAGTTGAGTGGATGGCTTTAAGTTATATTCACATTTCTGTGGCTTCAAGGTTCTGAATATTGTTCACATGCTTCACATGCTTCCACTGTTTGTTTCTGCTTTCCTTTTCTCATGCCGCGCCCTATCTTCATTGTTATGCTAACTTTCCTGAAGTTCTGTCCTTAAGGCTTGCTCCAGCTCTGTCTCCCAGTCATCTCTTCTGAGAGAAGCTGCATCTTTTCAGGTGGTGCCTCAGGCTCACTCAAATTTTAGAAGGTGCTCCGTGGGATGCTCTCTGGCCTGTGTCTTCCTCTGCTTGTGAGCATTTCCTTAGTGTACGTTTCTGTTTCAACTTCCCTGAGCAGTTTGCCTTGATGAATATCTTCCAGGGTTTCTTTCCCTTCCCCTTTCAATGCACACATGTGGCTTATTCTCTTTTTCTCCAGTCCCTCTCCTGTTCTGGTTGTTAGTATGCTTTGTTTTTCTTATTTTCATCTCTTGGATGAAAATCTTGGATGAAAAAATATTTTCATCTCTTCCGTTTCTCTGTTACTACAAGTCATTTTGCATTCTCTTCAATTTCACTTACAGGGTCACTTATCATACTTAGCCTAGTGCCTTGGAATCCCATTATACACTCTTGACACTACCCAAATGCTTCTCTTGCATTAACCAGACAGTGGATGCGTTAATCGCAAACTGTCAGCACATATTGACGAAAGCTGTGAACAAATGTGTGAGTGATTGTAAAGGACTGTTGACAGATTAAATCCATTGTACAGGTAGTTATACAAATGAGTGGGGATGGTTTTTGACAACATCCATAAGGAAGAAATTAAAAGATCTTGGAAAGAAATGTTTTCTCATAAAGTATTAGAGCAACTAATATAAGGCTATATACCTGAAACAGTGTGAGGTACCATATTTCATGATAAATTTAAGAAATTTTCAGGAGTTCTTTTGATTGTAGGGTATTCTTGCCCTGTTAATCTCAAAGCCTAGCTTCTGACAAGGAGGCTGTTGCTTTATCTGTTAGTGTAACTCAAACTAATTTTTTCAGTATCTTCCGATCTCAGAATCTTAAATATACATATTAGCTTTGTTCTGTCCAGCTGTGAATTTCTGTCCTGAAGTGAATAAAGACTTAGGACTTAAATTTTTGTTACATATAATCTCTGAGTTTATACCTTTATGCATTTTATGTCTTTTAGATATCCATTATTTCATTCAAGAAATTTGTAGGTGCTTAGTACTGAGGAGACAGACATAATAAAATGAATATGTGTAAAATGACATTGTGGCAGAGACCTTATATTGATTGGATAATTGACAATGTAGTCGGAAGGCCTCCCCTGAGAAAGTGGTGTTTGAACAAAAATCCTGAAGGATGAGTAGAAGTTAGCTGCATGGTAAAGGGGTAAAGGAAAGATCCCCTTGGGTAGGATGGACCAGGTAATTACATAGCAGCTTCTGAGTTGTATGTAGTCAGTGGTTTCACACTGAAGGAAAATCTGTAGACAGTCAATTTCTAAACCTATTTTTAGTATACCATCTTTAGGCTTCTTATGAGTACTGTCTACACAGGGGCACGGAACCTTTTTTCTTACAAGGACCATTGGTGGGCTATACAGAATTATCAAACTTAAAAGTTAACCAACTATAGATATATTGAATTTCAAGTTCTGCCTTTCTGTTGCTTTGTAATGGCCAGGGGTTCCCCACCCTGGCTCTAAAGGGTAATTCTTTAGTCATGTAGATAGCAGTGCTTATGTAATAAAGTGACTTTCAGTTTTGCATTTTATACTTCTTTATTTTCGCTGAATTGTACTGTTTTACATCTATTATACTATTGGATCCTTTAAGAATCCTATGAAGTAGCATTTATTAATCATATTATACAGTCGAAGACAGTGAGATCTAGAAAAGTTGCCCAGAGTAATACAGCTGTAGACACTGGAGCAGGGATTTAAATCTGGCTTTGCCTTCGAATCTGTTATCTCACTTTTCTATAGACTGTAGTTTCTCAGTGTTACTCATAAATGGGATGCTTACAGTTGAGCACCATAGTGTGTTAATAGGAATTAATGTTTATGTCCCTTTTAGGAGATACTGTACTTGTATTTAATTTAATATTGTCCAAACTAAGTGAAGTTTTGAGTTACTTGAGTTGTAGCTTAAAATTTTTGGAATAGAAATAACCTTAATTTCAGTTACTGCAGTTAAGAAGTACTAACAGTTATTTAAGTTGAACGAAATTAAAAAATTATTTATTGTATTTGAAAGGCTGAATTAGAGAGAGAGAGAGAGAAAAATCATTCATCTATCCAAATGACTGCATTGGCTGGGGCTAGGCGAGGCCAAAGCCAAGAGCCTTGGAACTCTACCCAAATCTCTTATGTGGGTGACTGGGGCCCAGGCATTTAGGTCATCTTATGCTGCTTTCCCAGGCACATTGATAGGGAGCTGGATTGTAGGTGGAGCAGCCAGTACAAGAATTGATACTCATATGGGATGTTGGCATCACAGGTTGTGGTTTAACCCACTGCACCAAAATAGTGGCCCCAAATTAAACTGAAAATTTTTTTTTTATTATTATTATTATTATTTTTTTTGACAGGCAGAGTGGACAGTGAGAGAGAGAGAGACAGAGAGAAAGGTCTTCCTTTGCCGTTGGTTCACCCTCCAATGGCCGCTGCGGCCGGCGCGCTGCGGCCGGCACACCGCGCTGATCTGATGGCAGGAGCCAGGAGCCAGGTGCTTCTCCTGGTCTCCCATGGGGTGCAGGGCCCAAACACCTGGGCCATCCTCCACTGCACTCCCCGGCCACAGCAGAGGGCTGGCCTGGAAGAGGGGCAACCGGGACAGAATCTGGCGCCCCGACCGGGACTAGAAGCCTGTGTGCCGGCGCCGCTAGGCGGAGGATTAGCCTAGTGAGCCGCAGCGCCGGCCCCAAATTAAACTGAATTTTACAGTATAGTTTTAGAAATGTCAGTATTTATAATTGGCAACAACATACTTTTAGGTGTCAAAAGAACTAGGCTTTAGATCCCTCTCTCTCACTAACTAAACAGCTAAATATTCAAAAATTATTTTCCCCATCTAGTAAATGAGACGATTATGTCAGATGAATCACCAAGCTTGATTAGATTTTATAATTCTAAGTCTTTGTTTATGATTGTCATTTTAGTAGGATAAAGTTTGAAGACTAAAATTCAAGTAAAAGCCTGGTTTTGCTTTTTAGTGTTACGTAAATTGACTGTTAATGGATTTGTGGAGCCACACAAGAATATGGAAGTGATGGTAAGTGATAGAAGTAATTTATTTTTTGTGATTTTTGGGACAGTGCTTGGTATTTTCCTGAATGCTTTAAAACATATTCTTTTGAAATTGATTTAAAATAGTTGTTGTTAAGTAACCATTTAGTTGTTGTTGTTCTACCATTGTATGTATTAATTACAATATATTTTTGGAATTTGGTCTGTTTTCTCTACATCAAAGCCCCTGCTGTGTGAAGAAGAGGAATACTTGTCAAGACGTCCTGGTGCATGAAGTATATTAATTTGAATTAAAATGAACTTGTTTGATTTAGATGTTATTATAATATTACCAGGTCCATTGTAGATAGTTATTTATATCTTTACATTCCCTTTGTTAGTTTTCATGTATTTAAAATTAATTTAGTTTTTCCTTTGATCATAACATGTACATGTAAAAACACATGGTTCATGTTCAAAGTAAAGTGCTCTGAGTAGAAAATTACTGGTAGCTAGCTGGCGTAGAGACTTGCTGATGTGGCAACCACAAAGTTCATGTACTTGTAAACCTCTCGTGAAAAACAGGATAATAAAATGGGGAGGGGTCAGCTTGGCAGAGCAAGGGAACCATTTCTGAGAGGTGGAAACTTGAATAGGAGTCAGGGGGTGGGATTGTCTTACATAAAAACAACAAAAAGCTGGTGTCATCTGGAAGATTGTAACCCTGTAGTACTAAGCCAATGAGGAAATGGGGGAGGGATCTGTGTGTCAGGAAAATAAATTGCCTGCTGTGACTTTATCCGTTGTGCCTGTCTGTTGGGCACCTGATATTGGGATACTGTCATTAAAAGTTTTGCTTTTGTTCTACTTTGTGTCCGAAGTCCGTTCCTTGGGTTTGGACAGGTGGGAGTGTTTCCCACAGTGTTGGAGACTCTGTTTCCCACAGTGTATATTCTTTGCCATCAATTAAAAACAAATAAATACAAGAGAGAAAAACCTTATCAATGTGCCCATCACAAGTTATGATGTATATTCATTGTTGTTATATGGTCATCTATATTTTTCTGTGTAAAAATATATGGCTGCATTTCCCCCCTAAATAAAATGAAGTTTTATTATACTTACAGTGGTCTTTATTAGTTTGCATAGCCAGTTTAGCTCAGCTAAAGCCTTGATTTTTGTGCATTGCCTTGAGCTCTACAGGAGTTGAGGAAAGCATAATCTAATTGGGTTTTGGGTCTCCCTTAGGGGAGATTTGACCTGAGCTACTCTTCTTTGTTTTTATTTTTTTGTGCTTTTTAAATTTTTTATTTTTTTTAAATAAACTTATACTTTAATTCCATTTTTTCACAAAGTTTCTGGAGTAGTACCTTTTTTTTTTTTTAAGATTTATTTATTTATTTGAAAGTCACAGTTACACAGAGAGAGGAGAGGCAGAGAGAAAGAGAGGTCCTCCATCTATCGGTTCACTCCCCAATTAGCCACAGTGGCCAGAGCTGTGCCAATCCGAAGCCAGGAGCTAAGAGCTTCTTCTGGTTCTCCCATGCGGGTGCAGGGGCCCAAGGACTTGGACCATCCTCCACTGCTTTCCTGGGCCATAGCAGAGAGCTGGACCGGAAGTGGAGCAGCAGGGTCTTGAGCTGGTGCCCATATGGGATTGCTGGTGCTTCAGGCCAGGATGTTAACCCACTGCGCCACAGCTCTGGCCCCTATTTTTATTTTTTAAAGGATTTATTTATTTATTTGAAAGGCAGAGTTAGGCAGAAGCTGAAAGAGAGAGAGAGAGAGGTCTTCCATCCGCTTTTTTTTTTTTTTTAAATCTGTAGCATTTGTATATCAGTAAGATGTTGATTGAAATAATAGTTCTATTATTAAAAGAATTTGAAGCTTACTATTTTATATCATAATGTAATGGCTACTCTGTTTTGTTTAAGCTTACATACATGCATTTTTTTTTAAAGTTAAAAAATACAAACAGGAACTTTTACCATCTTTACTCATCAGAGATACTACTAAAGTTTTAGAGTATTTTTTGAGACATCTTATGAATCTTTCTCTAAGATATTTTCTGAATTTCAGTTATATTATGTCATGTTTATAATGATTATATGGTACATTCATCTGATTACTGTCAGTGCACTTAAATTTTTTAAAAGATAAATTAACGTGGGATTCTTGTAATTTATTTGCCAAATCTTGTGTTGATGGACAAATAGCTTGTTTTCATTTTTTTATTGTTGATGAAAGACATTCTGATAAGCATTTTGATACCTTTGTCTGGTACTTTTTAAATGATCTCTTTAGGATACAAAATATTCCTAGAAATAGGAATTTTGGTACTAAATATAGGTACATTTACAATATTGGTACATATTACCAAATTTCTGGGCAGCATATGAATGGTCAACCTCAGTTTTAAATACTGATACTTTTTGCCTTACTGACCCCAAAATTTCTGTAAACCAATTTGACAATTTCCCTTTTAAATTCCCTCACTGGAATGTAAGCTCCATGAAGGCAGAGATTTTGTTTCATTTGTTTACCCCAGACTTGAACAGTCTCTTCATATAGTAAACACTCAATAGTTGTTTGTCAAATGAATGAATGTATGATCTGGCAGAAGCAATATGTCAATAGGCTCAGTAACTGTATATAATATTACTCTGAACATCATGGGATTGTATTAACTAAGATATCATTTCATCATTTTTTCCTGTAACTTTTAAAAAAATATTATTTATTTGAAAGGCAGAGTGACAGAGAGGTGGGGGAGAGGGAGAGGGAGGGAGGGAGAAAAACACAGCGGTGGGGGTTGAGGTGGGAGGTGGAAGAGATTGATAGTCTAATCTTCCATTTGCTGGTTCACTCCCCAAATAGCTGAAATGGTTGGGGCTAGGCCAGTATAAAGGCATGAGCCAGGAATTCCATCTGGGTCTTCCATGTGGGTGGAAAGGGGCCCAAACGTTTGGGTAATCTTCTGATTTTCCAGGCACATTAACCAGGAGCTGGATTGCAAATGGAGCATCCTGGATTACTTAAGTGTCTTTTTCTGTCTACAAAAAATTATATGTCACCTTTTACTTAGTTATAATAAACACCTTATTGTAGCATTTAAGGTATATTGACCACTTGGACAGAAGATAAAATTTTAACAAATTAAGGTCATCTTTTCAATTAACTTAAAAATAATGTAGAACTTACAAGGATGCTAAAGAAGAACTGTATGATAGTGATGAGATTCTGGACTCTGGAGACAGACATCTTTGGATTTGTGTCTTGAATTGGCCTTTTTTTGATAGGATAGTCTTGGGTTATTTACTATCTCTGATACCCAGTTTCCTTTATTGTACTTGGAGATGAAATAATAGTATCTACTTTATTGGATATTATGAGGATTGAAGGAGATCCTGATTTTTGTAATGTAATTAACACTGAATTATCATTTAGTGATAATTTTAATTTGGTTTTTTTCCAATTATTACATTACTCAAATTACTTAGTTTATTTGGACTTCAGATTAGCCAGCTGTCTTAACAATTATGTACATTTCTGATGCTTTTGATGAACTTACTAAAATTAGTGTCCTTTAAGTTTTCTACTTTGGTGAACACTAATATAGGAATTTCACTTAAAAATGTAATAAAATGCCTTTTATCTTGTAGTTACTTATGGAATCTTGGGAATCTTATTTTTCCCATGTTGAAGCTGTCTGCTATTTTAGCATTCTAGTACTTTTTATATTGTTATCCTTAATCATTTATCATTCCTAATTATGTTTAAAAAATAGAAAAAATATGAAAAGGGAAGAATGATAAATTGTTGTCCTGTAGTTTTCTTATGCTATTGACTGTTGTATGAATCATATTTCAAGAAGGTATTTAATGGCGTTGTGGCTCACTAGGCTAATCCTCCGCCTTGCGGCGCTGGCACACTGGGTTCTAGTCCCGGTCAGGGCGCTGGATTCTGTCCCGGTTGCTCCTCTTCCAGGCCAGCTCTCTGCTGTGGCCCGGGAGTGCAGTGGAGGATGGCCCAAGTACTTGGGCCCTGCACCCCATGGGAGACCAGGATAAGTACCTGGCTCCTGCCATCGGATCAGCGTGGTGCTCTGGCCGCGGCGACCATTGGAGGGTGAACCAATGGCAAAGGAAGACCTTTCTCTCTGTCTCTCTCTCACTGTCCACTCTGCCTGCCAAAAAAAAAAAAAAAAAAAAAAGGTATTTAAAAAGACTTGTAACACCACCCTTTACTCTGCTCTTAGCTTTTATTGAACATAGTTGAGAATTCAGAATTTTTCATTTCTTGCCTAAAATGGCAAAATTACTTCCTAAAATTTGGATGAATCAGGATGGACGCTTTCAAAGTTTTAGGGCAGTGCTTTGGACGTTAATGGGGATGGCAAAATTGATTGTGTAAGTAAAACTTCAGACTAAGTCTTCAGATAGCTGTATGCTGATTCACTTTTCTCAAAATCAAGAATTGATGAATCACCTCTATGCTCTGAAGGACAAAGAGGAAAATGGCTCTGAAGGACAAAGAGGAAAATGGCGTTTAAGAGCGGATCATTCCTCAGGGAGGCCTTTAGTTATTCGCTATTTTGTGACACCCGGTTTGCCAAAGGGCATGTGACATCTTTTATGATGTTTATATATCAAGATCTGTTGATACAAAGGAGTCTACTGTTTAGACTCTTATTAAAATTTTTGTTTTTCATTATCCCTTTATATTTGTTTCTATAAACTATTAACAACATTTCTTAAAATATATATTTAAAAATATATGGTATTGGCCAGCGCTGTGGCTCACTAGGCTAATCCTCCGCCTGTGGTGCCGGCATACCGGGTTCTAGTCCCAGTTGCTCTTCTTCCAGTCCAGCTCTCTGCTGTGGCCCGGGAGTGCAGTGGAGGATGGCCCAACTGCTTGGGCCCTGCACTTGCATGGGAGACCAGGAGGAAGCACCTGGCTCCTGGCTTCGGATCAGTGCAGCGTGCCGGCTGTGGTGGCCATTTGCGGGGGTGAACCAACGGAAGGAAGAGCTTTCTCTCTTTCTCCCTCTCTCTCACTAACTCTGCCTGTCAAAAAAAAAAAAAAAAATGGTATGTAGTATTGTTTATCTGAAGGTGAATGTGTCTGATAATTGCAGTTAAGAACGTGTGTTTGGAGTAACTGGTACCACTTATGCATTCATTGAGTACTTCTTATTGCCAAACACTATTCCTGGCTTCTGGGATAAAACAAACGTACCTAAGTGATGGTTCTCTAAGACCTTATATTCTAGTGAGAAGAGTTACATAATAAATTGTTAAGCAATGTGTCAAGGAGGTATAAGACCTGTGGAGAAAAATCAAACAGGGTGAAAAATAGAATGCTTAATAAATAATTTTTATTATAAAATGATTTAATAATGGAAATGAGATATTGAGGATATGAAATACTAGTTATTTTCTTGTAAAAGCCTTGTTTATAACTAGTTGTTTTTTACTTTATGTGATTTCAACTTATTTTCTTCAGCTGATTTTTTAAAATGATGTTCTACATATATTTTCATGTCACTGAAAAAACAAAACACACACAAGGTAAATGTGCATAACAGAATAAATAGACTTTTTAAAATATATTCTTTTCCAGGGTTTTTTGCATGGAATATTTGAACGTTTAAAACAGTTTCTGGAATGCAGTAAGTACTTTCATCATAGTTTTTTTTTTTTTTTTTTTTTACTTTAGAATCCTATTTCTCCATCACTCATTTATTAATAGCTAGGATAAATGATTGGTCAACAAGGCTGTATTTGCAAATCTGGAGAAATTGTCTACTCTGTGCCATTAGTTGGATTTTCTGAGTCTGTTCCTGGTATCTGAAGAGATCCTGTGTCGCTCCCCCTCTTCATGGAGGAACGACACAGGACCCTGCGCTTTTCTTTCGTCTGCTCAGCCCTCCCCGGGTTGGCTACCGACCCTTCCACCTCCGTGGAAGGGCGGTTCCCCCTAGCCACTTTCCCCACTTCCGCGGGGGAGCGGCACACCGCCGGCCGGCTCTCTCGGGGGCTGCACAGGTGTTCCTTCAGATAGATGTTCCTGGTGCATATTGTCTCTCTCCTCCTTTATAGTCCTCTTCCACCAATCCCAACTCTGCTACCCACACGCCGAGTACGCTGCTCTCCTCCAATCAGGAGCAGGTCCTGCTGTTTATTGGTTGAACTGGAGGCAGCTGTGTAAAGCTGTTTCTCCCTTCTCAGCGCCATATTGTGGGAGAGCAGATGCATAGAATAAGTCTTAATTCCAGTAAATTAGTCTAGTCCGGGTTGCTCCCAGTTGCTCCCCACAATCCTGTATGTGGTTAAAATTAGTTTTTTGTATTTTGAAAATTTAACTTTCTGAAATTAAATTGGAACCTTAGCTTTGTCTTCATTTGCCTACCTGTTATATGCTGATTGTAGAGGAAATTTTTTTTAAGGTTTATTTTATTTATTTGAAAGGCAGAGTTACAGAGAAAGGGAGAAACAGAGAGAGAGCGAGAGTGCTGCTATCCTCTGGTTTACTCCTCTAATGGCTGCAGTGGCTTGGGCTGTGCCAGACTGGAGCCAGGAGCTTCTTCCAAGCACTTAGGCCCTCCTCTGTTGCTTTTCCAGGTGTGTTAGCAAGGAGTTGGATCAGAAGTGGAGCAGCTAGGATTCCATCTAGTTCGCATATGGGATGCTAGCATTGCAGGTGGCAATTTTACCCACTAGCCACAACTCCGGCCCCTAGGAAACTTTTTTTATTTTTATTTTTTTAAGTTTTTTAATTTATTTAAGAGGTAGAGTTATAGACCGTGAGAGGGAGAGACAGAAATCTTCCTTCTGTTGATTTCACTCCCAAAATGGCCGCAACAGCCAGGGCTGTGCCGATCTGAAGCCAGGAGCCAGGTGCTTTTTCCTGGTATCCCACATGGGTGCCGGGGCCCAAGCACTTGGACCACCTTCTGCTGCTTTCCCAGGCTATAGCAGAGAGCTGAATTGGAAGAGGAGCAGCTGGGACTAGAATCAGCGCCCATAAAGGATGCCGGTGCCGCAGGCGGAGTATTAACCTGCACCACAGCGCCAGCCCCTAGGAAACCATTTTTAACAAAATTTATTTTGTGCCTATTCCTTCCTCTATATTTCTCATGCTACTACCCTTTCTAGGCAGATCACCCATGACAGTTATATGTTTAACAAAGTGTAGACTGTCTTCCAAATGCTTCTTTGGACTTCTTGTAGACTCTGTTATATATTGTTATGATATCTTTAAGTGATAGTTTTATTCTATCAGTCCTTGTTCATTGACTTCTAATGGCTTACCTTTGGGACCCTTTGTAATCCACTGTCCTCCACACAGAGAATTTAACATTTCTGTCGGGGCTTTATTTTGCTGGTGGTATGATTTTCAGCACTTTTGCTGAGGATTTCCACATAGGCATGCACATACACTTGCGTGTATTTGGGGACTTTCTGTCCTGAAAAGACATCTCAGTCCAGTCTCTGTTAGGGAGTTGCTGGCTGTTGTTTGTTATTTGTTTTTAATTAGTAAAAACATTGAACTTACTGCTTGGCCCTGTCTTGGCTACTGTACATGCATAGGTGAGTAAGATGGCACATGTTATATAGTTAATTTTTCTGAAAGTCATCATCATGATCTCTGTGGGAATTGTACAAGAAAAAAATAGAAGTCTTTCCAGGAGAAGAGAATGGGGTAAATATGGCAAAATAACATGAAGGTTTCATTAGAGAACACAGTAGTTAATGGACTTGTGGACATTATTCTTAATGTACAAAAGTTTAATTATGCCAGGGAAATTATCAGAAGAAATTCATCTGAAGATATGAGAAAAGTGATATGAGTATCTTGCTTACCTGTGCTTTGTGCTGCTTGAAAAAGTATTTAGCTTGGGCCAACATTGTGGTAAACCAGGTTAAACCACCACCTGCAAAGCCAGAATCCCTTATGGTTGTTGTTCTGAGACTCGGTTTGTGATCTAGCTCCCTGCTAATGCACCTGGGAGGGTAGCAGAGGAAGGCTCAGGTGCTCGGGCTCCTGTACCCACGTGGGAGACCTAACAGGAAGTCCCTGGCTTCTGATTTTGGTCAGGTCCTGTCCTGGCCGTTGTGGCCCTTTGGGGAGTCAACCAGCAGATGGAATATAGATTCTCTCTCTCTCTCTCTCTCTGTTTCTCTCTGTCTCTCTCTCTTCCTCTCTCTCTCTCTCTCTCCTTCTGCTCTGCCTTTCAAATAAAAAATGAGTAAACCCCCCAACATTTTTTAGCTGATTTAATCTTTGTGATTCATTATTCATTTCTAAAATTTCTACCCTGCTGCCTTTATAAATATTATTTTTTACTTCTTTTTAAAATATTTATTTATTTATTTTGAAAGTCATAGTTACAGAGAGGGAGAGAGAGACGAAGAGAGAGAGATCTTCCACCTGCTGATTTACTCCCCTGATGATTTCAGCAGCCATCATTGGGCCAAGCCAAAGCCAGGAGCCAGAAGCTTCATCCACGTCTCCTGCATGGGTGGCAGGCGCTCAAACACTTGGGCCATTTTCCACTGATTTTTCCGGGAACTGGATTGGGAGGGGAGCAGCCAGAATGCGAACCGGCACCCATATAGGATGTCAGCATTGCACTCAGTGGCTTTACTTACTACACCATAACATCAGCGTTTGTGTTGCTGTTTTTTTTTTTAAAGATTTATTTATTTGACAGGCAGAGTGAAAGAGAGAGGGGAAGCATAGAGGGAGATCTTCCATCTGCTGGTTCACTCACCAAATGACTGCAATGGCTGGGGTTGGTCCAGGTTGAAGCCAGGAAATAGGAACTCCATCTGGTGTCCCACAGGGTCCCAAGCACTTGGGCCATCTTTTGGTGCCTTCCCAGGTACTCGAGCAGGGGAGCCAGATCAGAGCGGAACAGCTGGAACTTGAATTGGTATTCTGATGTAGGATGCTGGCATTGCAGACGGAGGCTGCTAATCTGTTGTGCCACATGCTGGCCTCCCAGTTTTTATTTGCTTGAGAAGCAGAGGGACAGAAAGACAGATTGCAATGACTGGGGTTAGGCAGGGCCAAAGCCAGAAGGCCAGAACTTAATTCAGGTCTCCCCTGTGAATGGCAGGAACCAAACTACTTGTGCCATTGCTGCTTCTTCCCAGAGTCCGCACTGGCAGGAAGCTGCAGTTAGGAGCTGGGCTGGGCATTGAACCCAGGTACTCTGATATGAGTGTCTTAACCTGTAGGTCACGCCTGCTCCCAAGTTAATACCCTTTTACAACTTAAAATGGATCTAGCTCATATTTTAGGATTAATTTTGTACAGCGTGGCACTCAGGATTATTGTATCTTATTAGGTGTGAATTTTGGCATTTGTTTGTAAGTAATTCATAATGTACAATATGTAAAAATACAACTGGCAGTGTTTTTGTAAAGTTTTGATGTTATCTTGCTTGTGAATTTATAGACTTATAAAATGTGTGCTAATATTTGAAATGTATTTTTAACAGGTAGAAATATAGGCACAGATAATGTATGTAGAGATAGATTGGAAAAGACCATCATTCTCTTTACTAAAGTGGTAAGTTTTATTTATAAGTTTATTTTCTCAAATATGTACACTCATATTTAGAAGTAAAATGATATTTTGGTAATACCATTTTCACTTTTTTTTTTAAGATTTATTTTATTTATTTGAAAGACAGAGTTACAGAGAGAGGTACAGCCAGAGAGAGAGAGAGTTCCATTTGCTGGTTCACTCCCCAAATGACCACAACAGCCAGAGCTGAGCTGATCCAAAGCCAGGAGCCAGGAGCTTCTCCTGGGTCTCCCACGTGGGTACAGGGGCCAAAGCACTTGGGCCATCTTCCATGGCTTTCTCAGGCCATAGCAGAGAGCTGGATTGGAAGTGGAGCAGCCGGAACTCCAACCGGTGCCCACATGGGATGCCAGTGCTTCAGGCTGGGGCTTTAGCCCATTGCACCACAGCGCCAGTCCCCCCTTTTCACTTTTAGCACAAAGAAACTTTTGTTCTCTTTGTAGGGAAATAAAAAATCACCTTCATATCTTAAAGCCTTTAGAATGTACAGTGAACTTACATACCATATATTATAGTACATTCTTTGCTGTGAAAGAGTCAGTCTAATACATACTTGAGAAGTTGATTCCTCTGCAGCTCTTTATTCTTGGGCCCACTGGAGCGAGCCGAGAGAAAGCAAGCAGGGAGTTCTGCCAGAAGTAGATTCAGTGTAGCAGATAGTATATCATGAAGTCGGTATTTTCAGAATTACTTTCAGATTATCGTCATCAATATCACATCTTTTGAACTGAGTTTTATGGGTACAATGTGCAAATTTCTGAAAAATATGCTTTATAAAACATTAATTTTTATGAAATTTTGGGCTTGGAGGATTGGGAGAACTGTAGGGTTATAGGAATTGGAACTGCTTTGGGGACTTCTTGCACTAAAAATAGGTACTTAAAGATGAGTGTGGATATATAACTGTAACCTAATTTCCTTTTTATATTTTTGTTTTTGTTTTGTTGAAAGTTCAGTAACGGGTTAGTGTTGTCTATCTTCTAGAAGAAGAGAAAGAGAACAGAAATAACCTGTTTTTTATTTTTGTGTTTAGGTAGTAACTTGAGTTTCTATGTTTTTCATTTCTCATGTTCCAAATAGCCTCAGTAACAAAGCCCCTGCAATCCTCTAAGATCCAGTAGAAAATTGACTCAAATCCTTCAAGTTTAAAAACACAGGAAAGTAAAGCAAGGTGACCTAGTTAGTCAATGGTTCGGTGCAATGCATATTACTGATACTTGCTACATCTTTGTTCCCATTAGTGCTGGCGTGGTATGTCAGTTATGTAACTGATTTTTTTTTAAAAAGATTTATTTATCTGAAAGAGTTACAAAGACAGGTAGAAATAGAGAAAGAGAGAGAAGTATTTCATCTGTTGGTTCACTCCCCAAATGGCCGCAACGTCCTGAGCTGGCCCGATCCCAAGCCAGAAACCAGGAGCCAGGAGCTTCTTCCTGGTCTCTCACGTGGGTGCAGGGTCCCAGGAACTTGAACTTTCCCAGGCACATTAGCAAAGAGCTGGATTGGAAGTGAGACAGCCAGGACTCGAACTGGCACCCACATGGGATGCCGATGCTGCAGGCTGGGGCTTTAACCTGCTGCGCCACAGTTGCTGGCTCCTTTGTAACTGAAATTTAAAAAGCATTATTTAGATAATCTGTTTTAGAAAACACATTGTTTATTGAACTACTAGGTTTTCTTTTCCAATTCTTTCTTTCAGTTACTTTAGGTAATATAATGGATAGATGTTATCTATAATTTTTTCTTTTCTGAACAAATTCATTTATACAATTCAGATTTATGATCTGAAGACTTTATTAAAGCCTTAAAAATTGGGATGTTTCAAACACACCTCCAAATAGAATTGAGTAGCTGAATCCTCAGGAGATTCAGCTTCAAGAATTATCTGCGTGTAGTCATGGTCAATCCTGCTTTATCCGTGCGCTTCGTTCTCCCACCTTTGTTGATAATTTCAGGCCTGGGGAACATCTGGTTTTGGGGCCATATAAGGCCTGCGAAATCATTTGGTCTGGCCTTGCCAAAGCAACTGCAGGTGGGATTTGAAATTCAGTAAGTCTATAATAGGCAAATTTTTAAAAAAAAGATTTTATTTATTTGAGAGGTGGAGTTATAGACAGAGAGAGGGAGAGACAGAGAGAAAGGTCTTCTGTCCACTGGTTCACTTGCCCAATGGCCAAAATGGCCAGAGCTGGGCTGATCCAAAGCCAGGAGCCAGGAGCTTCTTCATGGTCTCCTATGTGGGTGCAGGGGTCCAAGCACTTGGGCCACCTTCTGCTGCTTTCCCAGGCCATAGCAGAGAGCTAGATCAGAACAGGAGCATCCGGGACATGAACAGGGACCGATATGGGCTGCTGGCACTAACCTACGGTGTCACAGCGAACAGGCTAATTTTTTTTTTTTTTAAAGATTTATTTACTTATTTGAAAAGCAGAGGTACAGAGAGGCAGAAGGAAAGAAGAAAGAGGGATGTCTTCCATCCGCTGGTTCACTCCCCAAGTGGCTGCAACGGGCCGGAGCTGGGCTGTACTGAATTCAGGAGCCTCTTCCCGGTCTCACTGAGAGTGCAGGGGCCCAAGGACCTGGACCATCTTCTTTTCCCAGGTGCACCAGCAGGGAGCTGGATTGGAAGTGGAGCAGCTGGGACCCAAACTGACGCCCATATGGGATGTAGGCACTGCAGGCAGAGACTTCACTTAGTATGCCACAACACCAGCCTCAAGCAGGCTAATTTTTAAGTTGATAATTTTGTATGGCTCATGAATAATGTTATAAATATCCAAATGGTCCTTGTCAGACAAAAGGTTCCCCACCCCTGTAAGCAAACTTCAGATTTCATTTAGTATTATCTGCAAAATATTTGAGTATGTGTTGCTAAGCAATGAAATCTTTAAAGAAACATATTTGAGAGACAGAGGCAGATACGGAGAGATCTTCTGTCCCCTGGCTCATTCCCCAGTTCCCACAACCACCATGACTGGGCTGGGCTGAAGCCAGGGGCCAGAAACTCAGTCCAGGTCTCTCCTGTAGGTGGCAGGGAGCCAAGTACTTGAACAATCATCTGCTGCCTCCTGTGATGTACCTTACCAGGAAGCTGACTCTCATGCACTATGATATAGGTTAGGAACATCAAGATCTTAATTGCTGTGCCAAACACACACCTGAGGGTTTTTTTTTTTTTTTCTTCCCCCAAAAGAAAATGTGATGATAGTTCAAATAGTTGGGTCCCTGCTGCTCATGTGGGAGACCTGGATGTACTTACTGATTCTTGGCTTCAGCCTGACCCAGCCCTGTGTAGTTATTACAGGCATTTAGGGTAGTGAACCAGCAGGTGAAAGATTTCTCTGTCTCTGTCGATCTGTGTTTAAAATAAATAAAAATAAACTAAAAAAAAATCTTATCAAAATCATTGTGTTTCACAATAATGAATTTCCTAATTTGATTGTCAGTTATTAAATATCTCTGATTTTTCAAAAATTTTATTGTTTTATAGGAAGTAGGATTCAAATAGTGTCATTTTCTATTGTTAATGTTGATGAAGAGCGCCAATAGAATTTTCTGTATTTTGCACTAGTCAGCTTCTATCCCTGTGTGTCATTTAATATGTTCCTTTGTGTCTGCACTCCTCCTTCCATATTTTTGTGACTTTGCAGTTAGATGTAGAGATTTAATCTCACTCCGTCTTTTGCTTTGTGGGATAGGGTAGGATTAACAAGAATACCTTCTAGATGGTGCTTTGTATTTCATATTGCCTCATAGTACAAAGCACATACTATCTGCTTGTCTTTCTTTGTGTGGCTATGACTGATGATGAGTAAACTATCAGAATTCCTCAACAGCCTTTCCCTTCATGATTTCAGTGGCCGTTTTTCATCATTGCCTCGGTCCTTTATTTGATTAGAGGTTGTAAAATGATGGTGTTCTATTCTGTTATTCCTTTTATATTTATTAACAAAAAAATTCCATCATCAACTATTTGATAAATCAAAGTACAGTTTTATGCAGAAAAAACAGGGTTATTTTTCAGTTCTTTTCCTTTATGACTTTTAAAGGCTTATACTTAATATGCTTAAACTGTTTTTAACATATTTACTTACTCTTATGTTAAATATGAAGTGGGTCTGTTTTGATGCCTGAACTGCAAATAATAGCAAATTCTTTTTATGGGTTAGAATCTGATGTAATCCATCATAAATCATGTATCCCAAGAAGGGGCATCATAAATGTAAAACCTCAAATACAGACTCCACTTCAGGGTTCAAAACTTACTAAATGTGTGTTAGAAGAATTGCAATTGGAGTGATTATATTCTAGTATGAATTTGGGAAAAATGCATTTTGAATTCTTTCTTTATAGCTTCTGGACTTCTTGGATCAGCATCCCTTTTCATTTACTCCTCTAATTCAGAGATCACTGGAATTTTCTGTAAGCTATGTTTTTACCGACGTTGGTGAAGGTGTTACATTTGAGCGATTCATAGTCCAATGCATGAATCTTATCAAGATGATTGTCAAAAATTATGCTTATAAGCCATCTAAAAATTTTGAAGGTAATACTTTACTGGTAGTTTAAAAATATTTTTTCTTTATTTTACTCTAAGTATAATTGCACTCTTGATAATTTTTTTGGAAACTCATTTATTGATAAGGAATGCCATTTTTAATTAGTGAATACCAGCTTCCCCCCAAAAAAACCATGCAGTACATTTAGTAAACTATTTTTTTTTGCAGCAGTTAAACTTCATAGGTTTAAGAACCACTGAAATTTATGTTATCAGCTATTTGTTTGAACAACTAAAAGTTTTCTCTTACTTTAAATAAGATTGCTTGCAACAAGTTTGTTTCTTATGTTATTTGGGGTTCATTCATATGCATGTGTAACATGATGAATGAGGAAATCTAGGGGAGAGAAGAGTAGTTGCTTCTCTATGTTGTGATAATGCAGCACAGAACTTTATAAGCTGTAACAGTAAGGCAGAAATAGCATTGATGTGTGTTCTAAATAAAGTTAAGACTGTCTAATATGTGTGTTGTAAAACTGAAAAACTATACACAAGTATATCTTTTACCCTGAGAGTCTATTTTTATTTATTTAAGTGTCATTATCTAAGTTAGTTGAATGTTGCCTTGTACAATTAACTTGGAAGTTTTATTTTTCTAGATAGCAGCCCTGAAACTCTTGAAGCCCATAAGATTAAGATGGCATTCTTCACATATCCCACTTTGACAGAGATCTGTCGAAGATTAGTCTCTCACTATTTTCTGTTAACTGAAGAAGAACTGACAATGTGGGAAGAAGACCCAGAAGGCTTTAGTAAGGATTAATTTTTTTGGCATGGCTTTTCTCCCTTTCTATAAGTAGATATTTATTTGAATGATGGGAATGATAACATTGTATTGTAGTATAATTTTTTTTTGCGTTTTTGTTATTTGAGAATCAGAGAAGAAAGTTTCCATTTGTTGGTTCACTCCCCAAGTGCCCATAATCACCAGGGTTGGGCCAGGGCCAAAGCTGATAGCCAGGAATGAACCAGTTCCCCTGTGTGAGTGAGATGAATTCATTTTTTTCAGCTAAGATCTGTGTCTCTCGGGTCTGTATTAGCAGGAAGCCGGAGTAGGGAATTGGAACCAGTAATCAAACCCAGGCATCCTGACATAAGGAAAGCCCTGTTCCACTTGTTATTTGGCACTTTTGATACGAAAAACTCGTTTTTGTTTTTTTAATTAATTTGTCAGGAAGGCTGTATGGGCTAGAAGTTAAGGGACCTACATCCCATATTGGAGTATCATGGTTGAAATCCCAGCTCCGGCTTCTCACTAGCTTCTGTTAGTGCAGATCCAGAGAGACATTGGTGATGGTTCATGATAATTGGATTCCTACCTCCCGACACCTGACTTGCATCTCAGCAGCCAGTTTGTCCATTGCCAGTGTTTGAGGAGTGAATCAGTGAATGAGAGAGCTCACTCACTCATTCTCTGTCTCTCCAGTAGAAATTAAATAGTAATTATAATAATTTGCCATCTTCTCTTGTGTACACATTGTAACAAATTGAGAAACAGGAAAGGAATGATTTGTTCAAATATAATGCAAAATTTTGCCAGTAAGAGATCTTTTGAGTTTTTCTTTTTAAAGATGTATTTATTTATTTGAAGGCAGATTTACAGAGAGTCAGAGGCAGAGGCAGAGAGAAAGAGAGAGAGAGAGAGAGAGAGAGAGAGAGAGAGAGAGATATCTTCCATCCACTGGTTCACTTTCTAATGGCTGCAATGGCTGGAGCTAGGTCGATCTGAAGCCAGGAGCCAGGAGCTTCTTCTGGGTCTCTCACATGGGTGCAAAGGCCCAAGCACTTGGACCATCTTCTACTGCTTTTCCAGGCCATTAGGAGAGAGCTGGATCAGAAGAGGAGCAGCCAGGACACAAACTGGTGCCCATATGGGATGCTGGGAGTGCAGCGACTTTACCCACTATGCCACAGCACTGGCCCCTTTAAATGCTATACAATTTAGACTATCGTATACTTTAAAATAAAACATAAAATTATTGACACCTTTTCTCTTTTATGTCAGTTTCTACTTTGTGGTTTATTCCATGTTATTTTTCATCTGTAGAAAATTTTGTCTCCAATTGATTTGAAGTTTTTAAGCTTGTGATTTATTTATTTGAAAGGCAGAGTTACAGAGAGGCAGAGAGGCAGAGAGGCAGAGAGAGAGAGAGAGAGAGAGAGAGAGAAAGGGAGATATCGAGAGATCGAGAGATCTTCCAAACTGGTTTGCTCCCCAAATGGCAGCAATGGCTGGAGCTGGACTGATCCAGAGCCAGGAGCTTCTTCTGGGTCTCCTACGTTTTCAGAGGGGCCCAAGGACATGGGCAATCATCTACTCTGTTCCTGGGCCATAAGCAGTGAACTGGATCAGAAGGGATCAGAAGTTGAGCAGCCACGACTTGAACCGGCACATGTATCAGACACTGGCACTGCAGGTGGTGGCTTTATTCGCTGTGCTACAGTGCTGGCCCCTAAAACGTTTTCATAATATTTAAAACTTAAAAAGCATTTATTTTCATTTTTATTTGAAAGGCAGAAAGAAAGACACAGTCTTTCATCTGCTGATTTACATCACAAAAGCCCAAAACAACCAGGACTTTGCCAAACTGAAGCCAGCAGCCCAAAACTCAGTCCAGGTCTCCTATGTGAATGGTAGAGACCCAAGTACTTGGGCCATCACCTGTTTTTGCCCCCCAGAGTTTATATTAGCAGGAAGATGGTATTGGAAGTGGAGCTGGAATTTGAACCCAGACATGATATGGGATGAACCAAAAACCCAGTTCTGTTTTTTAAATTTATTTTTAAAGATTTATTTATTTATTTGGAAGAGTTACACAGAAATAGGAGAGGCAGAGAGAGAGAGAGGTTGGTCTTTCATACGCCGCAATTGGCCCTACTGGCAAGATTTGTGCCGATCTGAAGCCAGGAGCCAGGAGCTTCTTCTGGGTCTCCCACGTGGGTGCAGGGGCCCAAGGACTTGGGTCATCTTCTACTGCTTTTCCAGACCATAGCAGAGAGCTGGATTGGAAGTGAAACAGCCAGGACTCAAACCAATGCCCATATAGGATGCTCGCACTGCAGGTGGCGGCTTTACCCATTGTGCTGTAGCGCCGGTCCCAAGTTTTGTGAATTTTAAACAAATATTTTTATCTGTTTGAATTTTAGTGATATGTACATGAGTAACAGAAATCGTTTCATGGCTCTTAGTGTACAGAATCAAGGAATCATGTATTTTAATGAAGTGCCGGTGTGTGAATTACTTAAGCGTAGGCTAGATGTTAGCCTGTGCTTATCCTTTTTACTGGATGCTCATATATAGTTACTCATGTATGTTTTCTAACATTTTAAATATCTTTAACTATTGGGAAGATTTATCTTCCTCCTCTTTTTGTCATTTAGAAATAATTTTAAGGGCTGGTGCTGTGCATAGTGGGTAAAGCCGCTGCCTGCAGCACTGGCATCCTGTATGGGTACCAGTTTGATTCTTGGCTGCTCCATTTCCAATCCAGCTCCCTGCTAATGGCCTGGGAAAGCAGCAGAAGATGGCCCAAGTGCTTGAGTCCCTGCACCCATGTGGGAGACATGAAGGAGGCTCCTGGCTTCAGATCAGTCCAGCTCTGGCCAACTGTTGTGGCCATTTAGGGAGTGAACCAGCGGATGGAAGATCTATTTCTCTGTTTTTGCCTCTTTTTCCTCTCTTTCTCTGGGTTTCACATAAATAAATACATTTAAAAAATAATTTTAGTTCACTTAGAATACAGAGCAAGGGCTGGTGCCAAGGCGCAGTAGGTTAATCCTCTTCCTGCATCGCTGGCATCCCATATGGGGACCAGTTCTAGTCCCGGCTGCTCTACTTGCAATCCAGCTCTCTGCTATGGCCTAGGAAAGCAGTGGAGGATGGCCCAAGCCCTTGGGCCCCTGCACCCATGTGGGAGACCAGGAAGAAGCTCCTGGCTCCTGGCTTCGGATTGGCACAGCTCCAGCTGTTGCAGCTATTTGGGGAATGAATCAACAGAAGGAAGACCTTTCTCTCTGTCTTTGTCTCTCCCTCTTACTGTCTGTAACTGTACTTCTCAAATGAAACAGATGAAATCTAAAAAAAAAAAAAAAAAAACCACACACACAAATCAAAACAAAAAACAGAGCATCTTTTTTGTTTTTATTTCTTCAGCTAAAATAGCAGGTTTCAGTTTCCTTCCTCTGTCCATTGATTATTCATTTGAAAGGCAGAGCAACAGAGATAGAGGGAGGGAAAAAGAGAGGGAGGAGAGAGAGGAGAGGAGAGGGGACAGACACATTCTATCTGCTGAGTAACTCCCCAAATGCCCATGACAGCTGGGACTAGGCCAGGCCTAAGCCAGGAGGCAGGAACTCCATCCAAGTTTCCAATGTGATTGCTAGGGACCCAAGTACTTCCCAGGCACTTAAGCAAGAAGGTAAATCAGAAGCAGAGTAGCTGTGCCGTGAACCAGCACTTCGATATAGGATGCCATTGTCTCTTGCCCACTGCACCACAACACTCATGCCTCAGTTTGCTTTATTTATGTGTTATATATAATACTGCAGTGTGAAGCTTTGGATCCCTAGATTTTTTTTAAAGTCTTAAATGTATTTTTTATAGATACGGAAAGTATATGGAAGTATGGCAAATTATAACTTGTGAAACATAATTGCTGTTGGGGCCAGCACTGTGGAGTAGCAGGTTAAGCCTTTGTGTGTAGTGGTGGTATCACATATGGGCGCCAGTTTGAGTCCCGGCTGCTCCACTTCTGATCCAGATCCCTGCTGATGGTCTGGGAAAGCGGTGGAAGATGTCCTATGTGCTTGGTCCCCTGTACCCATGTGGGAGACCCAGAAGAAGCTCCTGGCTCTTAGCTTTGGCCTACCCCAGCCCTGGGTATTGCTGCCACTGGGGAGTGAACCAGCAGATGGAGGGTTTCTCGCTCCTCCCTCTCCTGTGTTTCTGTCTTTCAAATAAATAAGTCTTTTTAAAAAAAAAAAAAAAAAACTTAATTACTGTAGTGAAATGTTGTGGCGATACTGTTATTAAGTGATATATATAAGGCTTTAGTCTCATGGATTTAATTTTACTGTACCAATGTTATTCACATTTTTATTTTCCAAACTGAGCTTTTAGGAACCTCATTATTTCATTTCTCAAGAATATCATTTGTCATGTTTTTAATTGCAGCAGTGGAAGAAACAGGAGGAGATTCTTGGAAATACAGTTTGAGGGTAAGTATTGAAAGAAAAATTGACGAGAGAATTCTTAATCCTTCTAAAACTGTTAGTAGAGAGTGACCATCTGTTGGAGATTCCAGCAATTAGATAGGAAACTTCATAACTGCAAAAATCGTTTGAGAGGAAAGTACTTAATTAAAGTCTGAATTTTCATCTGAATTTTTTTATGTTTACTTGGGAGTTTGCAAACTGAATTTTTTTTTTTTCATTTTTGGTTTAATTCCATGGGAAACAGTTATCACTATACAAAGGGAAAATAATCTGTTAAAGTGAAAGTTGGGACTTTTGGGCTAAAATTATTTTATCCCCTCCTAATGATTTTGTTAAAGCTTCTTTTGATATTTTATTTCTCTTACTACCCAGTGTCAGTCTCAGAGACCAGCTCATTGTAAAACTTTCAGTGGTAGGATACTTTAAAAATACATCTGATAGGACATGCATTTTCTGTTGAGGAAGATGTACCCATTATGGCCACTGGTGGTTCTCTGTGATAAGGCTTGTGTTTTACCATTGCTTTTCTTTTCTTTTTAAAGATTTATTTATGTATTTGAAAGATTAATTTTCAGAGAAGCAGAGAGAAGAGAAGTCTTCCATCTTCTCGTTCATGCCCCAAGTGGCCACAGCTGCCAGGGCTGGGTCAGAAGGAAGCCAGGAGCCTCATTCTGGTCTCCTCTGTGGGTGTGGGGGCCCAAGCACTCGAGCCGTCTTCTGCTGCTTTCCCAGGCGTATTAGCAAGGAACTGGATTGGTAGTGGTCAGTGGGACTCGAGCTGGGCCTCATATGGGAATCCAGCATTGCCTGCAGCAGCTTATCCTACTATACCACAGTTCCCAGCCCCTTCCCATTGCTTTTCTAAAATCTTATTTTTTAGATTTATTAGCGTATAGCTGTAAATCAGAGAAATTACTGGTATTTTAAAAACTTTAACAGAATTTGTGACTTTAATTTTTAAAAACTTTCTCTAATAGAAAAGTTTACAAATATCAGAAAATAGAGAAACAAGTCATTTATCATAGCCTATTTTATCACTTTTCAACTCATGGCTAGTCTTTTAGTTTCACATAAGCACAGAATTTTCTCCCAATTTGGATTATTTTGAAGCAGATAGTTTAGATGACTTGATTTCATTTGTGTATATCAGTATATATCTTAGTGATTCCATTTTAAATATAAAACTTACTACTTGTTGAATTTTCTATTAAGCAGAGAATTAGGCTTATGATTATAAAGTAAATCATTGCAAAAATGAAAAGAAAAGTAAGAAAGGAGGGAGGATAGGAATGAGGGAGGTAGGGAGAGTATGATAGGAAGTATCATTATGTTCTTAAACTGTAAATATGAAATACATGGAATTTATTGCCTTTCTATACATAAAAGTAAAAAATACTTATAATTCCTTTATATTATAAAGTAGTGATTTAATACTTCAAAAATTCAAAACAAATATTCTCTTTTGTAGCTAAGAATTGTTTCTGTTAACTGTGTTTGTAAAAGAAAATACTATTTTATTTGATAAATTGAATTCAAGAGTTGGAATTTTTTACTTATATGTATCATTGCTAAGAATTTATGATTTTCAGTATATTCAATCTTGGACAGCCATTTGTAGTACTGAACTATAAATGGATGTGGCTAATTAAAAGTGTACTGTTTTCTTTATGTTTTAGAAATAAATTTCTATGTGCTGTTGATTCCAGCTTGATTTTGTTTGTATTTTGCTCGTTATAAAAATGAGTAATCTTTAAAGAAAATCAAGAATTGGAAACATTTTGGAATTTTAGGGCTTTAAGAATGAGTGCTCTTTGCATTATTGTAGTTTCTTAACTTAAAATACCATTTTTTGAAATTGGAAATTTCTCCCTTTCTCCCCCTTTCCAGCCTTGCACTGAAGTCCTGTTTATAGATATATTCCATGAATATAATCAAACTCTTACTCCTGTGCTTCTGGAAATGATGCAGACACTTCAAGGTAAGGCATATTTTGTGGATCTTGGATTTATCTATTTAATTAGTGTTGAGTTAAAATAGTCTGAGTGCCTGCTCTATGCTGTGCAGTATTTCATATGTTAAATAGTAGATTCGGGTGGGCGCTGCAGCTCACTAGGCTAATCCTCTGCCTGTGGCGCCGGCACTCTGGGTTTTAGTCCCGATCTGAGCACCGGATTCTGTCCCGGTTGCCCCTCTTCCAGTCCAGCTCTCTGCTGTGGCCTGGGAGGGCAGTGGAGGATGGACCAAGTGCTTGGGCCCTGCACCCGCATGGGAGACCAGGAGGAAGCACCTGGCTCCTGGCTTTGAATCAGAGCTCTGTGCCTGCCGTAGTGGCCATCTGGGGGAGTGAACCAACAGAAGGAAAACCTTTCTCTCTGTCTCTCTCTCTCATTGTGTAACTCTGCCAAAAAAAAAAAAAAATAGTAGATATGAATTTGGAAAAAAAGGCAGAATATGCTCTTTCTTGAACAGGACTCATTTGAGATGAGCCTTGAGTTACCACTTGATAGCTGGATTTTGCTCCTGTAAGATAATCGGGGCAGAAGCAAAACAGCAGTCAGGTTACTTGGAGAAGCATTCTTTCTTGAAGCATGTTGTGGGAAGTTTTGCTCCTGTAAGATAATCGGGGCAGAAGCAAAACAGCAGTCAGGTTACTTGGAGAAGCATTCTTTCTTGAAGCATGTTGTGGGAAGTAGTGAGAAATGGTTAAAATAAAAGTTAGCACCAATTACAATGACGACAGTGGGAATGGAAAGAAGGTGTGGTGGGTGTAAGAGAGAAAGATGAAGTAAATTTGAAATACTTGATCACTACACATTACATACAAGTAATTATTTTAATATTAGCTAACATTGGCTCATGATTCTGACTTTTGCTGCTACACTGTAAGTTCCAAGAGTCTGATTAAGTCTGATTTGTTCATACTTTTTTTTAAAAATGATTTATTTTATTTATTTGAAAGAGTTACAGAGAGAGGTAGAGACAGAGAGAGATGTCTTCCATCCGCTGGTTCACTCCCCAGATCCGCTGCGCCAATCCAAAGCCAGGAGCCAGGGCTTCCTCTGGGTCTCTCATGTGGGTGCAGGGGCCTAAGGACTTGGGCCATCTTCTGCTTTCCCAAGCCACAGCAGAGAGCTGGATTGGAAGAGGAGCAGCTGGGACCAGAACCAGTGCCCATATGGGATGCCAGTGCTTCAGGCCAGGGCTTTAACCCGCTGCGCCACAGTGCCGGCCCCTGTTCATACTTTTATTCCTACTGCATGACATTCTCAATAACTATTGGTTGTTCATGTAGCTTTTGTCTACTGTGTGAATGTGCTAGACAAAGGAAAGTGGTCAAAAATGCTGTTGTAAGTCTTAATGACAAGGGGAAAAATTTACTTCATTAGTGGTGGTTGGAGATACAGGTCTAAATTTGGGAGTGCATGTATATAAGGAACCTTGGGAGAAGAAAAAGTGTTCAAGTACAGACCCTGAGATTTTGACCTGTAGGTGATGGGAGGATGTAAAAGACCCTGCAAAAATGCCGGGTAAAGACCATCCCAGAAGTGTGGAGAGACGTTTCCGGGGTGTGTGCTGGAGAAGAGTGCTTTGTCAGATACAGCACTAGTGCAAGAGGCAGAGGCAGTGGAATCTTCTGGGAAAGGAGGCTTTCTGATGACGTGGGGTAGGAATCACGTTGTAAGGGAAGAGGAATTAGATACTGCTGTTACACAGGAGGGAAGGAAGAGAATGTCCCGCAGGGGAGGAGCTTCTCGACCTTGTTCCATAGTAAGGGGGTAGCTCATCTTTTAGGCTTTTGTTCTGTCAAAAACTAAGAATGTTTTTGCTGAAATTATAAGCTAATAGGAATAATTAGCTATCAGTCAACTTCAGTATATTAACTTACAAAGATAATATGAGTACTGTTATAATTTCATATGGCTTGATTGGGAATGTATACTTAGTTATTCGTTTTTAATACAGGTTTACAGATTTTGAGAATAGTTATACTATTTAACTTACTTTGTTTTGTTAGTTTTTGACTGTTGTTTTCTCTTTTCTCCTGTTTATTTTTTTAAGCCACTAGAGGAAAAGACAGGCTGTTTAGATAATATTCTGGGGTGCTGCCTGCTATATTTTCAGGGATCTCTGAGTTGAGAATGTTCTTTTTACCTCTGGAGCAATTTGCTCATTTAGGACTATACTTACTGTAGCTTATTGGAAGAGTGAGCTTTAAAATTAATAATTAGCAGTAAAAAGGTGCTTTGACAAACTTGTTAGAAAAACCCCATGTAAGTTGTGTTTTCTGTAGTATCCATGATGCCGTTCTTCCTGAGCATAGTACAGAGACTGCCAACTTTTCATTCTGAAACTTCCATGTTTCCTAGTAGCTATCACTTTCAGTTTGCATTTTCATTTTATTGGCATTCAGTATACTCTCATGACATGGTTCATTTTTTTCTCATAACATGGTTAATTTTTTATTTGCCTTCTTTTCCAAACTGCTTATTCTTTACTTCTCCTGCCCTGGGTGATTTATCTTTTTAGTCTATTTTAAATAATTTTCCTTTATAATAAGAGTATAATACAACGGCTAGCACTTTGTAACATGTATTTTTCTACTTGATTTTTAGTATTTAATTTAAAAATATTTTAATATTTATTACTTTATACTTGTGTTCTTTAATGGTGGTGGTAATAAAATGTTAACTGTCTTTATACTTATATATATGTTTAATATCATGAAATTTATTGTATTTCACTGGATCAGGAAACTCAACTACTATATTTACATTAAAAAACTTATTAAAAACTAGTTTAATTTACATTTCCTGATACTTATTTTTTTTAGGACCCACCAATGTAGAAGATATGAATGCACTGTTAATCAAAGATGCTGGTATGTTAAACTTCAACGTTTTAGAAATGCTTATTTATTCGATAAACTGTTTAAGTGCTGGGAGAGTTGAGATATAAGAGTAAAGTTCAGGACCTTTCTGATGGAGGAGATAATCAAGTAATCAGAAAATTAATTGTAATATTGTGTGGGATGGTTAATGCTAATGTGATAGTAAACACAAGATAGTTTTGGTGTGCATGGGGAAAGACTCCTCAGAAAGTGTAGTATAAGAATGCAAAGGTGAGTACAAGTTAGGTGTGCAAGGAAGAGTACAGGAAGAAGTTTCTAGGAAGACTGAGTGATACAGACACAGATGTGAAGGTCATAGGAATAAAGCACAGTTAGAGTGATTGTTTTGACTTAACTGAAACAGAGAGATTAAGGGTTGTGGTGCTGGATGCTAAAACATTGCCTCTACTTGGAGCAGACATTATTTCCTAATTTGACTTGAATACTTTACAATGAATTTAATTTTCTATTTGAAAGGAGTAAGGAGTATTTAGGAGGAACATGGAGTAAAAGAACTTGATGTTTTTAAAAATGTCTATTTAAATAATTTCCATGGTTAACATATTTTTCCCTTAATTAACAGATTGTATGTTTCTAAAATGTCCTTAAAGTTTAGTTTGTTACATTGCCCAGGGTGTGAAATCTTTAATTTTTCAAAAAATCTTTTCTTCCCAGTATATAATGCCGTTGGATTAGCTGCTTATGAGCTGTTTGACAGTGTTGACTTTGATCAATGGTTTAAAAACCAACTTATTCCAGAATTACAAGTCATTCATAATAGGCAAGTATGAAGTTTTATGTTTATTATACACTTATTTGCCATATTGATTTTCTGATGCAGGCAGAAAGATACTAAAATTGAGTACAATTTTTTAAATGTTATATTATGACTTAGTAGTTACTGTGTATTGTAGAGTGGATAAAGACCTATTAATACTGTGAATGAAATAGAAGCAAAACAGTTGGTTCTTAAGTTACTTTACTTCAAATGTGAATTGTGATGTTTAAGAAGTACTTTGCATTATTTAAGATAGTTTATAGGAGAAAAGATTTTATGCAAGGCTGAGGGATCCAGATTATTCAACCGGATGGGGGTCCCTTGAGTTCCAGAAAAAAACTGCATAGAAGAAGGACAATTGGAGACTTAACAGTGGGTAGGCCTAGTGTCTAACCAAAGGATGCCCATGAAAGGTAACTATCTAGGGATCATACAAAGAATTCTTTAAGTCTTTGGGGAATTGAGTAGAGTACATACAAACAACATGGCAAAAAGCATTTAAGTACATTTTAGGTTCTTATTGAGGTGGTTAGTTCAATAATCCGGATCCATATGACAGTATTTTTTTTTAACCTATTCTTAAATTATGTATACATTCAAGCCCTTGCTTAATCATTTTAAGTATCAAATGATTAGAATGAAAGGTCTTTTATAGATTTGACAGGTTATTTCTTAGTTTAAAAAAATATTCTGAGGCTTTTTCCCCCCTTTATTTTATTTTTTTTAAAGGTTTTTCCAGGTCTCCCACGTGGGTGCAGGGGCCATCTTCTACTGCTTTCCCAAGCCATAGCAGAGAGCTGGATTGGGAGAGCAGTATCTGGTACTAGAACCGGTGCCCATAAGGAATGCTGGCAGCACAGGCAGAGGATTAACCTACTGTGCCACTGCGCCGGCCCCTCCCCCCATTAAAAGAATGTACTTCTGTTGATTTAGTTCTGTAAGTTTGGTGCCTATCAGAATGCTAAGTGGGACAGATGTTAGTGTAGTCGTTCAGACACTGCTTGGCATGCCCACATTTTGTATTGCAGTGCTAGTTCAAGTCCTGGTCCCATATCCAATCCAGGTTTTGGCTAATACACACTCTGGGAAAGCAGCAGGTGATGACTCAAGTATTTTGAGTCGCTGCAACCCAAGTGGGAGACCCAGCTTAAGCTGTAGGCTCCTGCCTTCAGCCTGACTGAGACCTGGTTTTTGTGGAGACCTGGTTTTTTTTGGAGAGTGAACAAGTGAACGAAAGCTCTCTCTCTTTCTCTCTGCATTTCAAATACAATGATAAAAAAAAAAGACTGCCTAGTATATAGTCCTAGTATATAGTCCAATAATTTATTGCCTAAATTATTGAATGAATAGAATACTAGCATTTTATAAACAGCCATAGAATTGTAGAGCTTGAGATGCTTTAGAAGTAGTTTGAGGGGCTGGCACTGTGGCACAGTGAGTTAAAGCCCTGGCCTGAAGCGCCAGCATCCCATATGGGTGCTGGTTCAAGTCCCGGCTGCTCCTCTTCCAATCCAGCTCTCTGCTATGGCCTAGGAAAGCAATAGAAGATGGCCCAATTCCTTGGGCCCCTGCACCCACATGGGAGACCTGGAGGAGGCTCCTGGCTCCTGTCTATGGTTCGGCCATTGCGGCCACTTGGGGAGGAAACCAGCGGATGGAAGACCTCTCTCTCTTCTGCCTCTCTTACTCTCTCTGAGTAACTCTGACTTTTAAATAAATAAATAAATCTTTAAAAAATATAGTAGTTTTGACCACTAAACAGCTAGTTATCTCTCTGGTTATCCTGTCAACAAGCATTTTCAATATTTGGAATTGACAGTGTCTGTTGTCGTAGATGAATAAAATAGAGTGATTCTACCCTCAGGAAACTAGTAAGCTTGTGATGGAGAGAAAGCCTTCATTAGAAGGCAAATGTGGACTCTAATTATTCCTAAGCCTTTGGGTTTATTTAATTTAAGACCATCACTGTTCAGTACGGTAGCTCTCAGCGTATCACTGTTGTGCACTGGAAATGTGCTTAGTGAAACTGAGAAAATGACTTTTCAATTTTTTTTTTTGACAGGCAGAGTGGACAGTGAGAGAGAGAGACAGAGAGAAAGGTCTTCTTTTGCCGTTGGTTCACCCTCCAATGGCCGCCGCGGCTGGCGCGCTGCGGCCGGCGCACCGCGCTGATCCGATGGCAGGAGCCAGGAGCCAGGTGCTTCTCCTGGTCTCCCATGGGGTGCAGGGCCCAAGCACCTGGGCCATCCTCCACTGCACTCCCGGGCCACAGCAGAGAGCTGGCCTGGAAGAGGGGCAACCGGGACAGAATCCGGCGCCCTGACCGGGACTAGAACCCGGTGTGCCGGCGCCGCTAGGCGGAGGATTAGCCTAGTGAGCCGCGGCGCCGGCCGACTTTTCAATTTTAATTGAAATTGAAAAACTGAAGTTGTGTAAAATATGTATTGGTTACATTAAGATTTCACCTATTTATTTGTACTTAATATGAGCAGTAAAATTTTTAAGATTACATTTTTGGCCTGCATTATATTTCTGTTGGACAGAGTTAATCTCCATCAGTGTTTCTCCATTATCAATGTACATTTGAACTATCTGGCAGTCTTAAAATGCATGTTTTAGTTCAGTAGGTGTAGATCCAATTGTGCAATTCTTTCATGCTCCCAGAATAATGTGTTGTGGTGGATTCGTTCTGAGAGGAGGAGCCTGGTGGGGGCAAGAGGCGCGGAGTCACCACACAGACCCCGGGAGTCAGGTGAAAGCCAGCCAGAGGCACACAGCCCGCAGACTAGTTTAAATAGCCAAGGCAGCCAATCCGGTCAAGGGGTGGTTTATGCCTTAACCAATCACAGCCTGTTGCCAGGCAGTATCCGAAGCCATCCAATCACAGCTTGTTGCCGGGCAGGCTCTGTTGCCAGGTGGTTTCCCAGGGGGTTTCCAAAGCCACTCCTGAGTAACTGATGCTTGCTTGCCAGCGGCCATCTTGGCATGGCCTTCTCATTCCACCACATTTCTCATTCCCCCACGTATTCCAGACAATGCAGACTCTGGGAGGCAGCAGATGATGACTCAAGTATATGGCTCCCAGCCTCTACATGAGAGGCCTGAATTGAATTCCTAGCTTCCGGTCCTGTAGCTCTGGCTGTTGAGGGCATTTAGGGAATAAACCAGTGGATGGGGTATCTTCCTCTTTTTCTCTGTCCTCTCTTTAACCCCTCCCCCTCTTTTCCCTTTCCCCTTCTCCCTGTTTCAATCTCTTCAATAAAAATTTTTTTCAAATAAAAATTGATAATTCTGTATTTCTTTATTTCACTCTATACAAGTCTGAACTTCCACCTGTATGACTATATTGTCAGTTTTCTTTGAATTTTTATTTATTTATTTGAAAGAGCTAGAGAGAGATACATATCTTCCATCCGTTGGTTCACATCCCAGATGGCCACACAAAAGGCCACAAGTCAGCAGCTTCTTCTGGGTTTCCTGTGTCAGTGACAGGGGCCCAAGGACTTGGGCCATCCTCTGCTACCCTTCCCACGCTATTCACAGGGAGCTGGATCAGAAGTGAAGCAGCCAGGACACCAACTGGCATCATAGGCAGAGGCTTCACCCACTATGCCACACACCTGGCCCCTGTATTAGTCAACTTTGTATTATTACACCTAAAATACCTGCGAGGAGCATCTTGGGAAGAAAGGCAGTTTGTTTTGGCTTACAGTTTTGGAGATTAATAGTGCAGGGCTGTGTAGCCTCATTAGTCTTGTATCTGTTAAGGCTGGAGGAATGAGGGGGGACCTTCACAGGGTGAGGCAGGAAGCTGAGAGAGAAGCTAGGCCACATTTGGCTGAAATAACCATTCCTTTTGCAAGAACTAATTCCCAGTAGACCAGCCTATTAGATGCCATAATTGTATTGTCTACATCCTTAACATTAATCCATTGACCATTAACATTAATCCAAGACTTTAGGGTTTAAATGTCTTAATGAACTTGGGGAGCCAGATCCTGTTCAAATTCTATCAGTGACTTTGTTCAGTAGTTTATACCCCTCTTTCAAAAAATATTATTTATTTATTTATTTGAAAGGCAGAGTTACAGAGAGGCAGAGAGAGAGGTCTTCCATCTGCTAGTTCAACCCCCAGTTGGCTGCAACGGCCAGAGCTGCACCAATCCAAAGCCAGGAGGCAAGAGCTTTTTCTGGGTCTCCCATGTGGGTGCAGGGGCCCAAGAACTTGGGCCATCTTCTACTGCTTTCCTAGGCCATAGCAGAGAACTGGTTCGGAAGTGGAGTAGCCAGGAATTGAACTGGGGCCCATAAGGGATGCTGGCACTGCTGGCGGCAGCTTTACCGACTATGCCACAGTGACTGCCCCTGGTTTCTATGCCTTGAGAGGCCTATTCAAATCCTATCTCCTGTTCTGAAATCTTGAGATACTACTTTACATTCTTTGAGTCCTTAAGATATGTTGTAAATTTTTTGAGGGCAGAGAGTGCTTCTATACATTTTCTTCAATTTCAGGGAGGGATTTATATGATGAGTTATCTTTTAACATTGTAATTTTTAAAGAAAAAAGTTACATTCATTAGTTTTTTACATTTATATTCAGAAATCAATGTTTACCATCTTGCCACTGAAGAATGTATAATGCTGAGAAGATGCTTTGTGAATGGCATTCTAAAACACAAATATTTTAAGCTTAATGAATTTTCTGCTTATCTAGACAATGACCACTTCATTTAGCAAAGATGATCACAAATAAATACATATATGTGTTAACCACAATCCTTTACTACTTTAAAAATATGAACCATTATTTTTATAATTTGAGCCACATTTTGTAATCAGATACTTCTCAAAAAATCAGGGATTAGCTGAAATCATAAGATTACATGAATATTTTATATAAGCCTGAAGATCTCACAGTCTCTGAAAATAATCTTTATGGAATTAACAGAATTGGACTAGAAGAATTGAATATAGAAATTCTCACCCTCCCTTTTGTTTATTAAAATGAAACCACCGTTCTGTGGAAAAAGCTGTTATTTGGAAACCCCTCCTACAAATTTTTTGTTGTTGCAGATTTATTTATTATTTTCTTGAAAGGCAGAGTTACAGAGAGAGGGAGGGAGGGAGGGGTGGAGGGGGAGAGAGAGAGAGAAAGAGAAAGATAAAAGATAGATCGATCTTCCATCCACTGGTTCACTCCCAGGTGTCTGCAGTGGCCAGGGCTGTGTCATGCCACAGCCAGGAGCCTGGAGCTTCTTGCAGGTCTCCCATGTGGGCCGTCTCTGCTGCTTTCCCCGGTGCATTAGTGGGGAGCTGGATCAGAAGTGGAGCAGCTGGCTCTCAAACTGGCACGTTTACCTGCTTTGCTCAACACTGGTGCCCAGGAATTCCTTTACTACTACTTTTTAGGACCCTTTAGGTTTAGGGTTTTGGGCATTAGTACTGTTTTTAGTTACTTGAGGAACAGAAACAGACTTGATTTTCTTGTACATATATGGATTACTGAACTGAGACTGTGAAAAAAGAGACGGTGGGGGAGAGGACTCATGGAATTCACGTGAGTACTCTGCAGAGACACTACAATTCCGTAACTTTGGCAACCCAGTGGGAGACTGAAGGAGAATTTGAGCCCACTCTGAGGGCTGAACAGATTCCCTGTGTGGTCCTTGGGAAAGAGCTTCCGATCTCTGGCTCCTGTGGGTATATCACTTGCCTGCTAACTACCTCCAACTTTGTTCAGCTGTGCGGAATTACTTCCCTTTTGAATCAAAAAAATAAAGAGAGAGAGATCTACCACGCCTAACCTGGGAGTGTCACCTTTGGCACACCAAACAGAGCTCTCAGGCCACACCCATCTCAAGCCGCTAAGGCTCCATCAAAAACAGACAGTCCACTTAATCTAGAGTCATAGTATAACAAGAAAAAGCACCACAGTGAAGAAACGAAATATCTCCAATATGCCAAATAACAAACGCAAAAACCGAGGTAATAAAAACAAGGAAGTCACCATGACGCCCCCAAATGAAAAAGACACCCCAATTCAAGATTATGAAGATGATGACATAGAAGAAATGCAAGAAGCAGATCTCAAAAAATTGATAAGAACATTAAGAAGTTCTCAAAAACAAATTCTTGAACTACAGAAATCCTTAATGGACAAGATAGAAAATCTCTCTCGTGAAAATGAAATATTAAGGAGGAATCAAAATGAAACGAAACAACTAGTACAACAGGAAACTGTGATAGTGAAGAGAAATAATGAAGTGAAGAATTCAATAGATCAAATGAAAAACACAATAGAGATCCTTACAAACAGAATGGGTGAAGCAGAAGAGAGAATATCGGACTTAGAAGACAGAGAACAGGAAAGGATACAGTCAGACCAAAGAAAAGAAGAGGAAATTAGGAATCTAAAACATATTGTCAGGAATCTGCAGGATACTATTAAAAAACCCAACATCCGGGTTCTAGGAGTTCCTGAAGGCATGGAGAGGGAGAAAGGATTAGAAGGCCTTTTTAGTGAGATATTAGCAGAAAATTTCCCAGGTTTGGAGAAGGACGGAGAAATCCTAGTACAGGAAGCTCACAGAACCCCTAATAAACACGACCAAAAGAGATCCTCACCACGACACGTTGTAATTAAACTCTCCACAGTGAAACATAAAGAAAAGATCCTAAAATGTGCAAGAGAGAAACGTCAGATTACTTTCAGAGGATCTCCAATCAGAGTCACAGCTGACTTCTCATCAGAAACCCTACAAGCTAGGAGGGAATGGCCAGATATAGCCCAGGTACTAAGAGAGAAAAACTGCCAGCCCAGAATATTATATCCTGCAAAGCTATCATTTGTGAATGAAGGTGAAATAAAGACTTTTCATAGCAAACAGAAATTGAAAGAATTTGTCGCCACTCGTCCAGCCCTGCAAAAGATGCTTAAAGATGTGATACACACAGAAACACAGAAACACGGTCATCAATATGAAAGAAGATAAAGGAAGGAAACCTCACAGCAAAAGATCACAGGGAATTCAAAGCATATATTAGAACTTATCTTTGGCAAATGGCAGGGCAAAGTTACCACTTATCATTAGTCACATTGGAACCAACCTAAATGCCCATCAACGGTAGACTGGATAAAGAAATTATGGGATATGTACTCTTTAGAATACTATACCGCAGTAAGAAACAACGAAATCCAGTCATTTGCAACAAAATGGAGGAATCTGGAACACATCATGCTGAGTGAAATAAGCCAGTCCCAAAGGGACAAATACCATATGTTCTCCCTGATCGGTGACAACTGACTGAACACCAAAAAGGAAACCTGTTGAAGTGAAATGGACACTATGAGAAATGGTGACTTGATCAGCATAGCCCTGACTGTTAATGAACAACTTAATACATTATCCCTCTTAGTAGTTTTTTTTTTGTCTGCTCTACTTAATATGACTGGTTTAATTCTGTAATTAATACACAGTTATTCTTAAGTGTTGAAAATTAACTGAAATGTGATCCCTGTTAAACATAAGAGTGGGAATAAGAGAGGGAAGAGATGTACAATTTGGGACATGCTCAAGCTGACTTGCCCCAAATGGTAGAGTTAGAAACATACCAGGGGACTCCAATTTAATCCCATCAAGGTGGCATATACCAATGCCATCTCACTATTCCAAGTGATCAATTTCAGTTCACAATTGATCATAATGAAAGGACTAAGAGTCAAAGGAAGCACATAAACAAGTCTAGTACCTGCTAATACTAACGGATAGAATAAATAAAGGGGAGAGTGATCCAACATGGGAAGCGAGATACTCAGCAGACTCATAGAATGGCGAATATCCTAAACAGCACTCTGGCCTCAGAATCAGCCCTAAAGGCATTCGGATCTGGCTGAAAAGCCCATGAGAGTATTTCAGGCATGGAAAGCCAAGACACTCTGGCAAAACAAAACAAAACAAAACAAAAAAACAACAACCTAAATGAAAGATCTCTGCGAGTGAGATCCCAGTGGAAAGAACAGGTCTTCAAAGAAGAAGGTACCTTTCTCTGAAGGGAGGAGAGAACCTCCACTTTGAATATGACCTTGTCTAAACAAGATAAGAGTCGGAGAACTCAAGGGGCTTCCATAGCCTTGGAAACTCATGACTGGAGCATAGGGAGATTACTGATGCCATAAACAGGAGTGTCAATTTGTAAAGTCAACAACAGGAGTCACTGTGCACTTACTGCTCATGTAGGATCTCTGTCCTTAATGTGCTGTACATTGAGACTTAATGCTATAACAAGTACTCAAACAGTATATTTCACTTTGTGTTTCTATGGGGGTGCAAACTGTTGAAATCTTTACTTAATGTATACTAAACTGATCTTCTGTAAAAAAAAAAGAAGAAATTATCAACTCCCAACTTGACTCTCACTGGGATTAAACATGACAATAGGTCTGATCTGATTTCATCATCATTTAAAAAAAAATCATCTATTATTTTTCACTTTATGTTTGTGTGGGAGCAAACTGTTGAAATCTTTACTTAATGTATGCTAAACTGATCTTCTGTATATAAAGAGAATCGAAAATGAATCCTCATGTGAATGGAAGGGGAGAGGGAGTGGGAAAGGGGAGGGATGCGGGTGGGAGGGACGTTATGGGGGGGAAGGCATTGTAATCCATAAGCTGTACTTTGGAAATTTATATTCATTAAATAAAAGTTTAAAAAAAAAAAAAAAAAGAAGGTGGAAGTGGTAGGGGAACTGGAACTGGAGCCTAACACTCCAGTATGAGATGGGAGTCTTAATCACTGTGCCAAATGCCTGCTCTGCTTTCAAACTTTTATTTTAAACATGCAGATTGAAATTACATTTTATGTTTAAATGCTGAAATATAACTCTTAAAATATCTCACTTCAATTTCATGATTTCCATTTGTCTAGGTATAAGCCATTGAGACGCAGGGTGATTTGGCTGATTGGTCAGTGGATTTCTGTGAAATTCAAGTCTGACTTAAGACCCATGCTTTATGAAGCAATCTGTAACTTACTTCAAGATCAAGATTTAGTGGTACGTAACTTAAATGTCTTAGAGGAGTTATATGAAAGCTTTAACCTGTTTTTATTCAGGAGAGACACTGTCCTTGAGATAATATCATAATCTGTCTCCCTGTTGCTGTTGTTTCTTTGTCCTTTATTTTTGAAGATTTGTTTGCCCTTGAAATTGTTGTTTCTATTAAGAATTTTTCTCTGTGGTATTCACATAATATTCTTGACTGTGTTACTGGAAAATTGATAATGGCTTTTTGTTGCTTTTGTTTCCTTCAGTATGCTTGGCACTTTATTACATAGATTTACTACGGAAGGAGGTTTCATGATTTTTAGAAGTATAAAATTGTATAATCGTTTTCTTTCTTTTGTTTTCGCTATTGGTGGTTTATTTTGTTCCTGAGTGAATATATTATTGACTTAATATATATTTTCTTTAACTTTGGCTTAGATGTGACTCCATCATAGTCTTTTAAAAAGTGAATTCGGTTGTCTTTTCCTGACTTCCAAATGGTTTTTAGATGAAATTGATTCCCTCCAACCAAATCACGCAAAGAGCTTGTCTACTTATTTGCTGTTTCTCACACCGCCCTGTCCCTCCCTCACTCCAGACTTCCCTGTAGTTTTAGTTTGCTTCTGGGTGATTTCCCTGCCTCTCATCAAAGACTTGGTTCACAGCTTTCTCTTCTATTTGCAAGCTGTGATAAGTAAACTACTTGTTGTAGTCTATGAATGAAAACATAATTAGGAAAGTAACATCTTTGAGTTTTCTACTTAAGTATTAACCTTCATTTAGTTCTTTATTGTGTCTGGAATTTATTTTTGACCATGATGTAAAGTAAGGTCCCATTTTTTTCCTTTTTGTTTTTTAAATAAGGACAGCAGTGCTGCAATGATGTATTGAATGATCCTATTTTCTTAGTGGTCTGTTAGGCCACCTTTGCCATATCCCAAATTTACATAAGCATATGAGTCTATTTCTGAACATTGTTCTGTTCCTTTGTTCTGTTTGTTTCTACTTGAATATTGTTTGAATTACAACCAATAGTAGTCTAGTAAATCTTAAACGCTTGGTAGGGAATACATACTTGGAGCTTTGAACACACATAAGAGTTTCATGGTTCAAAAAAGATCAGCTATTATGTGTCATTAATTAGCTACATTATTTTGTGTGGTACTGTTTGTGTTTACACTGTTAATTGACCTTCCTTTTTGTGCTTATTGTTAACTATGTCTTTTAGAGCACGTTAACAGTTCCTCATGCCATAACTTGAGAATTGTCTTAAATTTTATACAACAGACTAAAATACTTCAAAAATTTTTTTCCTACACATTCTCTTCCCTTCCCTCCCCCTCCTCATAGAATATACTTCCTGGCAGATGCTGTGTTGGGCACGTTTCAGGTTTGAGAACACGGTAAACTGCATTGTAAGTGAGAGGAATCTTGTTTTCCCAGGACCACAGATGGTTCTTGCACTTAAACCTGATGTTTTAAGGTTTCTGAATGTTACAATTGTATCTTTAAATTTCAGAAATTTGAAATAAATTTTTAAATAATTTTGGTTGAGATATTTTTGCACTCCTCAGAGAATAAAACAATGAATAACTGAAAAAAAAAACAAAATTAGTGTAATCACTCTTTCTTGTGAGTGATTAAATAAGATGTAAACTGTGGTACAGTGCAGAATTCTGCAGTTGTGGTTGGGAAGCAATGAAATGACTGTTTTCATGGGCTTAGTATTAGCAGCACAGGAATAATGAGCCTCCGAAAACAGACAGTGAGTGGCACTGTGAAGGAACAATGAGTGGCACAGACGAGACTGCTGCAGACCTCGTGTCCACGGTGGGAGGTGCAGCTGTCAACTGGACAGAAGTACTGCAAGCTATAATGAAGTTTTCATGCTTGTGCCTTTTTAAGGGTTTCCTAGTTTTGTCCAGTTTTTGTCTTAATGTTTTTGTTTTATTTTTTCTATTTGCCCCTTCTTTGTATCTCAGAAACAGTGCCACAGCTTTTGAATTGTGGACTGGTCTGTGTTTTGAAAGAAGATAGGATGAATTCTGAATTCAGCTACATTCATTGAGTGTAACTTCCTAAAGAAACATAGAATAATCTGTTTGAGACACCAATTGATAACATCAGGTCTACCTAACATATTAAAATGAGCTTTAGAATTTTTTCCTTAATGGAGAAAAATAAACTTAAGGAGCTTTTTATTCCTTTAAGAAACCTATTTATATATATATATATATATTTCAGAAGAAGTACATGAAAGTATGTGATTGAGTTGATCATGATTTTATTGCAGATTAGAGCAAAAAAGTACCTCAGTACCACCAAGAAGTGGTCATAGTAGAGTAGGAATAGCAGTGTATAGAATAGTGTAAGAGAATATTGCTCATGGTAGTGTCTCTGAGATCTGGCATGAAGTCATGTTTTAGCAATTTTTTTTTTAAAGATTTTATGTATTTATTTGAGAGATAGAGTTACAGACAACGAGAGGGAGAGACAGAGAGAGATCTTCTGTCTGCTGGTTCACTCCCCAAATGGCCATGACGGCCGGAGCTGCGCTGATCTGAAGTCAGGAGCCAGGTGCTTCTTCCCAGTCTTCCATGCAGGTGTGTGGGACTTGGGCCATCCTCCACTGCTTTCCCAGGCCCTAGCAGAGAGCTGGATCAGAAGTGGAGCAGCCAGGACTTGAACTGGCGCCTATATGGGATGCCAGTGCTGCAGGCGGAGGATTAACCTACTGTGCCACAGCGCTGGCCCCTTAGCAAATGTTTTTTGAAAGAATTAGAGGAGGTGAGAAAGGGAGAGAATTCAAGAAGGAAGATGGAATTTTTAAACAGCCAGATTATGAAGTCGTGGTATTATTTCTCCTTAGCAGATTGTTTTTTTACTTTTTCTTAAGTCTCTGAGACACTGCTACGTGCGGGATGTTGAAGTGGTCAAGCATGAGGCCAGCCCAGATCCAGAACTCAAGTGAACCACCCTGACAGTTATCCCAGGGTGCAGTCAGGAGTGACCCTAGCACAGCAGTGTCTGCTTAGTCTTTGACTGCTGTTGACCTGTGGTTTCTTTTCATGTTCTCTGTTTCATGCTTTCGGGGGTCATTGAAGAGTTCCTTATTCCTAGGTTGTGCTTGGTCTCTGCTGTGGAATTAACCTGTTAATTTTTTCATGAGTTTTCTGAGGTTTCATGATGGAGGGGATGGGAGAGTAAGGATAGACTCACAGGCCGAGTTACAGTCTAGAACCAGATCTGAATACTTAGGGTTTCATTCTCCTTCAGACAGTCTGAAAAGTAATGTTTAAAATCTTACTAAGGGAGGATATTCCGTTTCCTCCATTTATTCAGCAATTGTTTACTGAACAACTCTGTGTACGTTTGCTCTTAGGAACTATGGGTTTCATGATGGAATACCTTACATTCAGAGAACTTGCCTAATCTGCATGTCAGAGCTCCTTAAAACGTTTTAAAACTTACGTTCTGAAAAATGGCGGCAAGGAAAAAGTAATCATTACAGATGTGGAAAGTGTCACCCCTAAGAAAGTTATGGCTCTTAGCCAGAAAATATTAATTTTTGGTGTAATATCTTATAAACTAGAATATAGAATTTAGTTATGACTTGGATTTGTGTTATTTTATGGAGAAATTGAAAATATCAGCCCATATCAATTTAGCTGATCAAGTGAGAGGTAAAACTTGAAAGAGAATTAATTAGGACACTGTTGTGATAATGTATGTGATTTGCCTGTATAACATGCTGGTACACAAAGATTATGTGATTTAGGAGGTGGGGAGCTTGTATAACTCTGTTTATGAGCTTGGGATTCATAGACTCTCATATCTTTTGGGTATTTCAGATTTTACTGTCACTGAAATTACAAATAGGAATTTATATTCTTTCTCCTCCCTCTCCTCCTGTCTCCTGAACCCTTCACTTACCCATCTTCCAGCTGGCCCGGCTTCACCTTGTGCCTGCTACTCAACCTTCTCTTTTACTCTGGAGTCACCTGCACATACTTCTCGCTCAGTCCCAGGCTCTCCACATACCTGATGGCAAATTATTTTTCTTGCTGGAAGCACCCATTGGAGTAAACCCTCCTTAAGCAAACTATGGGGAACTGAGAAGAGTGGGAATAACACTAACTTTACCTTTACTTTTTCTCTCTTGCTGCAAGCTAAGGGAAGTATCCTTTATTTCTGGATGTCATATGTTCTGTGGCTTTATTAACAAAATGAGTAAAGAAAGTGATTTGGAATAAAATGACATTTAGTAGTTAATGATGTTTAGTAGTTCTATAATGATTGAAAACTCATAGTATACTTTCTTTTAGGTCCGTATTGAAACAGCTACAACTCTGAAGTTAAATATCCTTTGAAAAATATATAAGTGCTTTATTGCAAAGAATTCTAACTTTTGTACTTTTTGAAATTATTTTGCAAAATTAGGAGATAGTTGAAAATGTAGTTTTTGGTTGGTTAATTGCATTTTTTTCAGGTATGTGTTTTTGTTGCTAACTTTATCTTTTGGTTCTCAGTATTCCTTAACTGTCTTTCACCTGTTGATGATTTTGAATTTAGAACAGATCAGTTTCTACCGGTAAGCATATTTCGAGATTTGAAAACAATTTCTGTTCATGTCTTTTGAACGTTGTGTTATTTTACCTCTGAAATTATATATATATGTTATTTTTTAAAGCTTAATTTTAAAGTGTTTTGGATTACTTTAGAGGATATAACTTGTATTTATAGCTATTCAGGTACTTTTATGGTAACAGTCACATTTAATCTGTATATTTTTGTTAGCTATATTATCATCAATTTTAAAGTTGACCACCAGACTTAATTTTTCTCATAATTATAATCTAGTGTTTTCATGTCATGTGCATCTATTACTTTTTAAAGAAAATTATGTATTTATTTATTTGAGAGGTAGAATTATAGACAGAGAGAGGGAGAGACAGAGAGAAAGGTCTTCCATCCACTGGTTCACTCTCCAACTGGCCACAATGGCCTGAGCTGAGCCAATCTGAAGCCAGGAGCTTCTTCTGAGTCTCCCATACAGGTGAAGGGGCCCAACCTCTAGGGCCATCTTCTACTGCTTTTCCAGGTCATATTAGATAGTTGGATTGAAAGAGGAGCAGCTGGAACTCAAACCAGCTGGCGCTGCAGGTGGAGACTTAGCCCATTGTGCCACAGCGCCAGCCCTGCATCTATTACTTGTACTCCTTTTGTTATTTCCCTGTATTATGTGTGAATATATTTCTGTATCCTACACCAGATTGCAAGTTGCTTGAAGAACAGATGACAAATCATAGACATCATTCAACCTCTGTCACCTAGAGTGTTGTTTTTACATAATTGGTATTTATTAAACACTTGCCAAATATGTTAAGAAGCTTGAGGGGGTGGTGTTTGTATTTCCTAAGAGGAGTATATGAGAAGAAAGTTAAATGATAAAATATCTGTTTGTCCTTCTTTGAGTGGCAAGGATGGGAAAACTTGTAGAGCGGTGGTTTTTCTTTAACAAAATTATCACTAGTAATTTTTGGATGAAAGAAATATGTTTGATATATTTTTATAAACATCAACTAGTTATCTGAAAGAACACAAGTTTAAGTAAGTGCTTGTGATTTATAAGTTTCTAACATAATTTTCTTAATGTAGGAGTTGAAAACCAGGCAGATGATGTTTGTTTGCTGTTTTCTAATAAATATTTATCAGTTGTATAACAAATGTATAGCTACAAAAACTTATATCTCCATGCAACATATGTTAAGTGCCATGGCATTTAACTGCCACGTGAGTGAAATATTGGTGTTCTTTTTGCTTTAATGAGTAAATTTTGCAAAAGAAAACATTTTGTATTGTCAACAGGTCTACATGAAAGCCTTAGTTAATAGTATAAGATTTAAATATTCACAATTTAGACACTCTACTATATGTTAACTCAGTTTATAGATGAATTAAATTGTGAAGTGGACATATTTAACAGCAGTAAAGAGAAGAATCACTTTGATATTGACAGCTTGTACAATTTAAAGTCTAGTAATGCTAACATTTTAGCTTTCTGTTTATTTCTTTGACATTATGATTTATGTATTTTTTCCATCTACATCTATGTAGAGATCTTTACATTTCTATTCCAAATTTTTTTTTATATTTGCAGTATTTGGAAACCATGTTCACGCTACTTTTTCAACTACTGCAGCAAGTTACAGAGTGTGACACAAAGATGCACGTTTTGCACGTACTTTCTTGTGTGATTGAAAGAGTCAACATGCAGGTAATTTAAACATTAAAATTGGATCAACAATGTAGAGACGTTTAGAAAGCAGAATGTTCCATGTTTTAGGCACATTTATATTAAAACTTCTCAAAATACGGTGTTTGCGGTGGTAGCCATAACGACTTTTAAACATGCACATTTTCTTATGTGTTATTTTTGTATAAAAAATTAAGTGTATTTTGTAGTCAAGGCCATATTATACCCATATTATAAAAATGACGTGTAAGGCTCTTAACAGTTATATTAATTTGCTTCCCTGTAACTCCTAATCTTTGTAAAAATTCCTAATCTAGGAAACCACAGTGTAATTACCGGAGTCTTCTTACATACCTTTCTTTGAAAAGTGCTGAAATAAATCTGTAAGGGATTAACAAAAGGTAACTGATTGGGAGTTCACACTCTTAGAGAGCTTGCTCTAGAATTTGTTGTTTGTGAATTTTGGCACCTTGAGCCTATTTATTAATTCTAAAGCAGTTGTTGAGAATCGTTATCAGTTATTAGGTAACAGCCTACCAGTTTATGTGCTAAGAGCTTTGTATATATTTATCATTTAATCCTCTTTTATTCTGATATCAACTTTTAAAATGTCCACATATGAGAGACAATAAGTGGTATTTGTCTTTCTGTATTTGGTTTATTTCACTTAGCATAATGTCCTCCAGTTCCATTCATTTTACTGCAGATGACAAGCTTTCATTTTTGTGAAATTTCTTTCACATTGTCTACTTAATTTTATTTTTTAAATCTAGGGGAGAAGGGAGAGAGAATGAATGAATGAATGAATGAATATCTTCCATCCACTAGTTTTACTTCCTAAATGTCTGCAGGAAACTGGAATTGGAAGCAGTGCCACTGGAACTTGAGCTAGTGCCCCAGTATAGGATACAGATGTCCCAAGCATGATTTCATCCACTGTACCACAATCCCTGTCCTTATTATTCTATTTTTTAAATAGTTAAGTAATATTAATAGGAATTTCTTAAAGATTTTTTTATTGTAGAACTGAATATTCTTATCTGTGTCTTTCTAAGCCTCTGGCTAAAACAGACCATTTTTGAATTTCTTTTTGCTTAGCAGACTTAAAAATGCTTTTGTGTTTTCTATTCATACCTATCTTTTAGAACACAAAGAGCCAAGGCAGCTCAAGTGACTGCATCATCAATAAGAAACATAGGATATAGTTATCCAGTAGTAGTTTTGATTTTCAGAACTCAGCCTAGGATAGGAAATGGCTTAAGAAAAAATATTTTCAGTTTTTTCATTGTCTTCTGTTTTCCCAGGCCACAGGAGAGAGCTGGATCTGAAGTGGAGCAGCCAGGTCAAACTGGCGCCCATATGGGATGCCAGCACTTCAGGCCAGGGTGTTAACCTGCTGCACCATAGCACTGGCCCCAAGGACTTAAAGCATTTTTTAAAATACCAGAGAATGGAGATCTTTGCATTTGAGAATGTGTCATGTTTGGTTTTTATTAATGTGCTGGGAATGAAAATTGTGATCTTCCTATGAACTAACTCATGAGACTTAATACTCACTACTCCCTTACCCCAAATTCTGTGGTATGAACCTTTATAAACGTAGGGTCTATAATCTTAACAAATTTTTCAACAATACATTATTTTTGACTATTGATGCAGGATTGTACAGCAGATCCTTAGAGCTTAGTCGTTTATTTTTTTATTTTTTTTCACAGGCAGAGTGGACAGTGAGAGAGAGACAGAGAGAAAGGTCTTCCTTTGCCGTTGGTTCACCCTCCAATGGCCGCTGCGGCCAGCGCACCGCGATGATCCGATGGCAGGAGCCAGGTACTTCTCCTGGTCTCCCATGGGGTGCAGGGCCCAAGCACTTGGGCCATCCTCCACTGCACTCCCTGGCCACAGCAGAGAACTGGCCTGGAAGAGGGGCAACCGGGACAGAATCCGGCACCCCGACCGGGACTAGAACTCGGTGTGCTGGTGCCGCAAGGCGGAGGATTAGCCTAGTGAGCCGCGGCACCAGCTAGAGTTTATTCGTTTTGCTTAACTGAAGCTTAATGCCTGTTGTTTAGTAGCACCCCATTTCCCTTGTCCCCAGACCATGGCAATTCTAAATTTTGACTCTAAATTTGCCTATTTTACATGCGTAATATAAGTGGATCAGATTGCCTTTGTCTTTTTGTAACTGACCTAATTCATTTAACATGCTATCCTTAAGGTTCATTCATCTTGTCACATTTTGCAGAATTCCCTCCTTTTAAAAAAGCTGAATGATGGTGTATAGTTACCTTTTTGTGTCCATGGGAGATTGGTCCAGGACCCCTCACGAATACCAAAACCCATGGTGTGCAAGTCTTTTATATAAATTGTTGTGGTATTTGCATATAACTTATATACATCTTATATACTTTATTTATTTTTCTATACATATATTTTAATTTTTTATTTCTTTATTTGAAAGGGGGGGAGAGAGAGAGAGAGAGAGAGAGAGAGAAAGAGTTTTTTTTTACGCACTGATTCACTCCCCAGATACCCACAACAGCCATGGATGTGCCAGGCTCAGCAGGAGCCTGAACCTCAACCTGGGTCTCTCATATAGGTGGCAGGGCCCCAACTACTTGAGCCCTCGTCTGGTGCCTCGCAGGGTGTTTATTAGCAGGAGAGTGGATTGGGAGTGGAGTAGCTGGAATGCAAACCAAGCACTCTGATATGTTGTGCAGGTGCAACAAGTAGCAACTCAACCATGTGCCAAATGCCTGCCTTCCTCCTTTAATTAATCTCTAGATAACTTTTTGTATCTAATGTAATATACATGCTGTGTCAGTAACTGTTATAGTATGTTGAGGAGCAATGCCATGAAGAAAGTATCTGTACCTGTTCAAGACAGACACATCCCTAAATATTTCCCAGTTGATGTTTGAATCGTGCATGTGAAACCTGTGGACACAGAAGGCTGACTGTATATACCATATTTGTGTGTGTGTGTGTGTGTGTGTGTGTGTATGCATGCATGCCATGGATCTTTTTTATACATTCCCCCATCAGTGAACAGTAAAGTTGTTTCTACATACTGGCTGTTGTGAATTGTGGTACAGTGAATATGGTAGTGTTAGTAATCTCTTCATACTTCTGATTTCTTTTTATTCTTTTGGATAAATAGAAATGGGAATTAATAGATCATTTGGTAACCCTTCATTTTTTGAGGGTCTTCCATGCTATTTTTCATTAGCTGCATCATTTTGCATTCTCATCAACAGTGTATAGAGGTTCCAGTTTTTCTACACCCTTACCCTCATGCTTGTTATTTTTGATTGTAGCCATACTGAAAGGTATGAAATTTAGATCGCTCTGTTGAAGTATAAGACATTCTTAATTTTCTTTTTCTTTTTATATTATACAAATAAATGATGCTGGGCTTCCTCTAAAACCCATGCGTTGTATGTAATCCCTTCCAAAATTGTATATGAACAATAGTTTTTCATTAATTGCAAAATCTCAAGAGGCTGGCTTTGCCTTTCAAATAAATAAATAAATCTTACCAAAAAAAAAACCATCTCAGACCTGCAGAAAAGTTACTAGACCAATACCTATGTGTTCTTCACTTAGTTTCATCAGTTAAGTAACATTTTGCCACATCTGCTCTCTATGTCTGCTTACATCAACAAATACAAATTGTTGTTAAACCATTTGAATTTTGTAGTTGCAGACATGATGATGCTTTATCTCAAAATATTCAATCTCTGTCTTCTTGTTGAAGGATGTATGCTTTTTCTCCTACATTGTCGAAGCCTGTTATTGAATATCAAGTCAGTAGTCAGGTTTCCAATACTATCCTTTTTTTTTTTTTTAAAAGATGTATTTATTTATTGAAAGGCAGAGTTAGAGAGAGATACAGAAAGATCTTCCATCTACTGGTTCATTCCCCAGATGGCCACAATGGTTGGAGTTGGGCTGATCTGAAATAGGAACCAGGACTCAGGAGCTTCTTCCCAGTCTCCCACGTGGGTTCAGGGGCCCAAGTACTTGGGGTATCTTTTGCTGCTTTCTCAGGTGTATTAGGAGGGAGCTGGATTGGAAGTGGAGCAGCTGGAACTTGACCCAACACCCATATGGGATGCCAGTGTCACAGGTGGTGGCTTTACCCACTATACCACAACTCCAGCCCCAGTAATAGAATTTTTAGCTTCTCTACCTCCTACCCCATTCGAATTTCTTTGGTTCTCACATCACCACTGTGTTCTCCGTAATCCCCAGATATTTTTTTTCTTCATCTTTCATAATAGTGACTCTTGGGTGATTTTTGAAATACTATTTTTGAAGCACTAATTTAAGTTTAGGACATCAGGTATTCTAATGAACAGCTACATTGGATCATAAATATGTTATGGCTTTCGGATGTTACCATGTATTTGGTTTTATTACCCCTTTATAATTCATAGCATATAGTTTCATTCGAACAATCCTTGGAGAGTATCCTCTGTATTTGTCCAAATGAAAGCAAGTTTATTTTCCTTTTCAGTAAATTGTGTTGTTATTTGCTGTTTTTAATTGAGTATGAATGAGGTAGGTACTTTAAACCTGTGTGTTCAGCATGCTTTTATAAGCTAATTGGAGTGATCTTTGAAATAGAACACTTAGCAAAACTGAAAAAAATGCTCAGTATATACTATTGATTAACTTAACCTATAGTGTGTGTGACAATTTTATTCTTTGGAAATGGTTTTCTTCTGCCATGTTTCCACCATATCTTGATTCTGCCTTCATCGTTGCTCTTATCCTGTTACATCGCGTACGTGCTTGTGTGTGTGTGTGTGTGTGTGTTTAAAATATTCTTTTTTTTCCCAGTGCCTTGTCCTCAGCTCTGAAACTTGGAGAATGCTTTCAAATAATTATTTGATGAATGAGTGAATACATACAGGTTCTTGTTAAAATATAGTGTAATATTCAGTTAGTAAGCTGTTGTACTAAAAAGGAAGCAGGATATGTCAGCATTTTCTGCTACCTCTAAAGAATATTGTTTTATGTTTGCATTTGTTTTTCAGTCAGTAAATTTGCTACTTGTTTAAAATTACCAGAGAACACTGGGTCTCACCATACAGTCTACTTTGTCTTTAAGAGGGTCTATACTTAATACATTCTATGTAGGGAATTTTAAGTTTTTGCTGCCTGAGGTTTCATAGTGCTCTGTTGGTGTTTCTGGACGTTAATCGCCTTGTTTAGTAACATGATGCTTTTGCTTCTTACACTTCTGTTGCTGTGATAGATCCGACCGTATGTGGGATGTCTGGTACAATACTTGCCTCTTCTTTGGAAGCAGAGCGAAGAACACAATATGTTGCGATGTGCTATTCTGACCACACTAATTCATCTTGTTCAGGTAAATTGCTTTTCTCCAGAGCTTCTTAGTTTGTTTGCTTTTTCTTTGTTGTTGTTCTTTAAATTTTTTTCATTATTTTTCTGTGATTTATATTAATAGCAGTGAAATACTCCACATTTTACTTTGATCTAAGTGGTTTTACAAACGTTTGTATGAGTAAAAATATTTTGGAAGTTTCTTGAATACATTTGAAAAATATTTTCTACTTTTACTAAAATTTCTGTTATTACCTGTAATGGTCTCCAGTGATGGTACAGAGTTAGAATTTGTGTAGGCCATTGAACTACTCAAGCTGTTTCCCTGGCTTTTCTACAGAAGCTTAGTCAATGCTTTCATTCTTACCTTTTGTTTAAGATAAAGGTTTTCCCTTTTTATCTTTTGGAAAGGCAGGAAACAGGTGCGCTGCTTTTGAGGGGAGAGCAGTGATTTTCAATTTGGACATTTTGACTTTGTAGTATTGAGATGTAGGCAGATAGTGTGGAAAGAGTGAGAACTGACCTGCAGTTCTCATTAGAACCATGAAGATGAATTGTAGAATCACAGTGAGCATGTAGAGGGAAGGAGCATTCTGCAAGCTAGACTATTCTGGGTGTAGGATGCTCACATGAATTTATGGATCTCATATTCAGTTTTTAGAAATTGTCCATTTGGAGATCTCCCTCTAAATTAAGTATAAACTACTGTGAAACTTTCTAATATTAATTTAAAAAACTGTTTCTCAGGCATCTTGCTATTTTTTGAACTTAGGTCATTTGTTGTGTAAATATTTATGGATGAGTGTTAAAGATTTCTGTCTAAAACAGTTTCAGATAGATGAATATTTTTAAAGGACATTTTCTCTCAATTTTTTCTTGTGGTAAAATTCATGTAACAACCATTTTCCACCTTAACCAATTTTAAATGTACAGTTCAGTGGTATTAAGTAAATACAAGTGTATTCATAATGTACAGCTATCACTACCATCCATCTTTCATCTTTTAATCTTGTAAAATTGTATCTATACCATTCAATAACTCTGTCCTTCCCTCTGCTAAAGCACTTTTTAAAAATTAAGTGTTTGGCCTGGGATCACTTCCTGCTTGCTCTTTAATTAATTTGATTAACCTGTAAAGATCATATCCTTTTTATAGAAGAGGATACAAAGGCTGATAGAGGGTTCATAACCATTCTGCAATTACATTTTTAAGTAATGGAACAAAGAGAGACCCCTAGATTCTTTGTATTATATGTCTGTCAAAATATGTTTTTAGCTTTAGCTTGGAAGGTTAGTAAAGAGATGTGAAAAAAACATTATATGTCTTCTCAGGCAGTATTACTTCAGGTGATTTTAGGCAGCCAGAGTATAACACTCATGAATTGTTTGGGACTTTTCTTTTCCCTAACCCTTAACCCCTAACCCCTAACCATTCTCCTTCCCCTTCCCCCTTCTACCTTTTCTTCCTCCCCCCCTCCCCTCCACTCCCCCCTCCCTCCTCCCCTCCCCCTTCCTATTTCCTCCCCTCCCATTTAATTAATTAATTTATTGATTGATTGATTTGCAAGACAGAGCTAGAGAGAGAGAGAGAGAGAGAGAGAGAGAGAGATCTTCGTTTTCAGCCATCTTCTGCTTCCTTTTCCAGGCCATTAGCAGGGAGCTGGATCAGAAGTGGAGCAAATGGGCACACAAACCGGTGCCCATATAGGATGCCAGTGTCATAGGTGGTTGCTTAACCTGCTGGACCACAAAGCTGTCCACAGTTCTTTAAAGTTTTGTTTTTGTTTTAAATGAAAATTACAGTCTCTTGCTGCTTCTCTCCATTTCCTGTTTTGTGGAAGAATATATTTGAATTCTTATGACTGAATCTTTATCTTTCTAGCTATAAATAGAATGCATATAGTGTATCCTCTTGTTTCAGCATTTTAATGTACTCTCTCTCTGTCTTTTTAAGGATTTATTATTTTGAAAGACTTATAGAGTGAAGAGGGAGAGAGGAAGAGAGCTCTTCTATCCCTGGTTCACTCCTCTGTTAGCTGCAACAGCTGGGGCTGTGCCAGACTGAAGCCAGGAGCCAGGAGCTTCATCTGGGGCTCCCATGTGGCTGCAGGGTCCCAAGCACTTAGGCTGTCTTATGCTTTACCAGGCTCATTAGCAGGGAGCTGGATCCGAAGAAGAGCAGCTGGGACTTGAACATTGATTTAGTCCTCTTTTTTTTACATTAGATGTTTTAATCATACTGTTGAGCCTATGTAGCTTACTTTAAAAAACTGTTGACCACTGTTCACCAGGACTTATAATAAAATAAACAATATACAGTTGGATAACATTCTGATTACTGCAAAGTTATTGTTTTTCCTGACATCTGCTGAACCAGTAACCCAGATACTTTAAAGATTGAGTCTTCGTGTAAAGAATGAGATGTGGCTGGCACCGTGGCTCAATAGGCCAATCCTCCGCCTGCGACGCCGGCACCCCGGGTTCTAGTCCCGGTTGGGGCACTGGATTCTGTCCCGGTTGCTTCTCTTTTGGTCCAGCTCTCTGCTGTGGCCCGGGAGTGCAGTGGAGGATGGCCCAGGTCTTTGGGCCCTGCATCCGCATAGGAGACCAGGAGAAGCACCTGGTTCCTGGCTTCGGATCAGCTCAGTGTGCCGGCCGCAGCACCCATTGTTGGGTGAACCAATGGAAAAGGAAGACCTTTCTCTCTGTGTCTCTCTCTTACTGTCTACTCTGCCTGTCAAAAAAATAATGAGATGCAAAAAAGAAGAAATATGGAGTTTAATAATTTAGATTACAGTAGCTGGTTTACCCAGTTATTCCAGCAAATCCTAAACTTCCAGGGTCTCTAATCACCTGATCATGTTACCATGAGCCAAATCTTAGACATGAATCACGAAAGCACAGGGATTTTGACTCACTAGAAGAAATCTTCAAATGTCCGTTTATCTTGCTTAGCTTCTTTTTTTTTTTTTTTTTTAAGATTTATTTTTTTATTTGAAAGTCAGAGTTACCCCCCACCCCCACCCCATACACACACAGAGGTGTCTTCCATCCACTGGTTCACTCCCCAGTTGGCTGCAACAGCTGGAGCTGCACCAATCCAAAGCCAGGAACGAGCCAGGAGCTTCCTCGGGTCTTGCCATGCGGGTGCAGCGGCTCAAGAATTTGAGGCATCTTCTACTGCTTTCCCAGGCCATGAGAGAGATGGATTGGAAGTGGAGCAACCGGGACTCAAACCAGTGCCCATAAGGGGTGCTGGCACTGCAGGTGGTGGCTTCATCCACCACGCCACAGCACCGGCCCTGCTTAACTTATTTCAACACACCAGGACATCTACTTTTCTCATCTGGATGGGGAGATTGTTAGTAACCATAAAAGTTTACTTTCAGAAATGTTGGAAATAAGCCATTGCATTTATGGCTATAGATTTTGGTATAGATCCTGATATTGCTTCTTTCTTTTTAAATTTTTTTATTTTTCATTTTTTAAAAAGTTTTATTTATTTATTTGAAAGGCAGAATTACAGAGAGAGAGAGAGAGAGCGCGCGCGCTCTTCTATCCGCTGGTTCACTCCCCTATGGCTGCAATGGTCAGAGCTGTGCCAATCTGAAGCTAGGAGCCAGGACCTTCTTTCAGGTCTCCCACTGCTTTCCCAGGCCATAACAGAGAGCTGGATTGGAAATGGAGTAGCTGGGACGTGAACTGGCACCCAAATGGGAATGCCGGCACTACAGGTGACAGCTTTACTTGCTGTGCCACAGCATTGATCCCTTGCGTCTTTCTAATTGAAGTTGTTCAAATGACTTACAGTCATTTAATTTGAAAGGTTATAATTTCAGGAAAATTTTCAGTTTAATTTGAAGGTACTTAACTAGGTTGCTCAGAATGACATCTCAGAAACATGGTTTTCCAATTGTTTTTCTTTTGGTGAATGTTTAAAAACAACCAAAAAGTCCATTTATATATTGTTTTTTGCATTCTTGCATAAAAACAAACAACCAAACAAAAATCCAGAATGATCCTTAGTCATGTGCGTTGAAAATCAAGTTTTGATTGAATAATGACCATGGAAAGTCTCCTTAGAATTCAGAAAAGGTGTTCTTAGAATTCAGAAAAGCGGCCAGCGCCGTGGTTCAATAGGCTAATCCTCCACCTAGCGGCGCCGGCACACCGGGTTCTAGTCCCGGTCGGGGTGCCGGATTCTGTCCCGGTTGCCCCTCTTCCAGGCCAGCTCTCTGCTGAGGCCCAGGAAGGCAGTGGAGGATGGCCCAAGTGCTTGGGCCCTGCACCCCATGGGAGACCAGGAGAAGCACCTGGCTCCTGCCTTCAGATCAGCGCGGTGCACCGGCCGCAGTGCACCAGCCATGGCGGCCATTGGAGGGTGAACCAACGGCAAAGGAAGACCTTTCTCTCTGTCTCTCTCTCTCACTGTCCACTCTGCCTGTCACACACACACACACACACACACACACACACAGAATTCAGAATAGCAGCAAATGTTTTCTTTCTTTCTTTATTTTTTTGGGGGGAGGGGAGGGCCTTAACAGTTTATTTATTTAAAAGGCAGAGTTAGAGAAAGGGAGAGACAGAGATCTCCCATCTGCTGGTTGATTCCCCAAATGGCCACGACAGCCAGAGTTGGGCCAGTCTGTTGCCAGGAGCCAGGAGCTTTCACAACTCCCCCAATACTGCAATTAAAACTGATGTATCAAACTTGATTTTCGTTAGAATGTGGTTATTTCTTTCTTTTCTTTTTTTTTTTTTAGACTTATTTATTTGAGAGTTAAAAGTTACAGACAGTGAGAGGGAGAAACAGAGAGAAAGGTCTTCCTTCCGTGGGTTCACTCCCCAAACGGCTCTGATGGCTGAAGCTGTGCCGATCTGAAGCCAGGAGCCAGGTTCTTCTTCCCAGACTCCCAGGCGAGTGCAGGGCCCAAGCACTTGAGCCATCTTCTACTGCTTTCCCGGGCCACAGCAGAGAGCTGGATTGGAAGAGGAGCAGCCGTGACTAGAACCAGGGCCCATATGGGATGCCGGCACTGCAGGTGGAGGATTAACCTGTGCCACAGTGCCGGCCCTGGTTATTTCTTTATACTAGTAAAAAACCATGACCCAAATTATTTACACACACACACACACATATGTGTCTCTCTGTGTGTATATACATACAAATATATGTATATGTGTGTGTGTATATACATACATACATATATATATATATGAAACAGTGCAGACAATTTGAGCTTCATCTTCTAGACAAGAATGCAAGTTAGCCTCTCTTTATAAAATGCAGTTATAATCTGAGGACACTTTTTATTCTCCTTTTTTGCCAGCACCAAGTTAGCCTCATCTGAATCTTTCTATTTTGTGCGAAACATAAATTCTCTACTGCTGTCTGGGGCACCAGTTATTTGTTCAGGATCAAGACCTCTGGCAAAGCCTCTTGGTTTGTCAACAGCATCTGTTTTCTTCTTTGATTTACTGTAATCGGATTCACTGTCAGATAAAGGTTTTCTTTTTGTGTGGTCTTTTTCTTAACCAGGTTTTTGAGGATTTGTGTGTGTGTGTGTGTGTGTGTGTGTGTGTGTGTTTTGGGCTTCAATTAAATCTGGCCAATCTAAATTTTCTTCAGGTTCCCATATATTTTCAGCATCTGTAAAACTCTTCCACATGAGAAAATACTCCCACACATCAGTCTAGTACTTTGTCTACCATGGATTCTTCAGGCTCTATGTCTTTGAATTTTTACTCTTTCCATCCTATCTTTCCCATTTTTTTGCAGTGCAGCTTTTTTATTTTACTTTTGCTTTGAAAGATTTATTTTGTTTATTTGAAAGAGAGAGAGAGAGAGAGAGAGAGAAATCTTTCATCTACTGGTTTACTCCCCAAATAGCTGCCAACAGTCAGGGCCAGCCAGTCTGAAGCCTAGAGATAGGAATTCCATCCAAGTCTCCCATCCACGTTTTAGAGACCCAAGTACTTGGGCCATCTTCTGCTGCTTTCCTAGGCACATTAACAGGGAATTGGATCAGAAGTGGAGCAACTGGGACTGGAACTGGCCTCATATGGGATGCTGGTATTGTAGGCAGCTGTTTAACTCTCTGTGCCACATTGCCAGCCACTGCCAAGTAGTTTTTATTGGAGGCCATTTTTTCTTGCAGACTGGAAGTGCTGCTGTTTACCATTCTGAGCTGCTCTGGTTTGCAGGTTATGGATTGTAAATATGCAGTATCTCCAGCTCCGGTCAGATCCTGCTTACTTTACTTTACTTTTTTTTTTTTTAATTTTATTTAATAGAAATTTTGAAAGTACAACGTTTAGATTATAGCGGCTTTCCCCCGCCCATAACCTCCCTCCCACCCACAACCATCCCATCTCCCACTCCCTCTCCCATCCCATTCTTCATCAAGATTCATTTTCAATTATCTTTATATGCAGAAGATCAACTTAGTATATACTAAGATTTCAACAGACTGCACCCACACAGACACACAAAATATAGAGTACTGTTTGAGTAGTAGTTTTACCGTTAATTTGCATAGTACAACACATTAAGGACAGAGATCCTACAGGGGGAATAAGTGCACAGTGACTCCATTGTTGATTTAACAATTGACACTCTTTATGAAGTCAGTAATCACCCGAGGCTCTTGTCATGAGCTGCCTATTAGCAAAAAATTTGAAGCATACAAAGGAAGATGATAGAATAAATAAATAAATGTATATACATACATATATATATATTTAAAAGATTTATTTATTTGAAAGAGAGAGAAAGAACTTTTCCATCTGCTGATTCACTCCCCAGGTTGCAGCAACACCCTGGGCTTGGCCAGGCCAAAGCTGGGATCCAGGAGCTAGGTGATGATGACTTGCAGTCATTTGAGTAACGAGTTGAGAGAGCTGGGTTGGAGAGAATGGATTTGAACATCAGTAGTGTTCACGAACCATTAGAGAGCTATAAGACAGTGCCCTGAGAAAGTGCAATATTTAGAGGAAGCTGTTTTATATTTTCTTTACTTATAAAAGCAATTACAAGTGCATTGGCAGTTGCAAGGAGAACACAGAGAAAGAGGCCAAGGCATCCATTTTCCCCTTTCCCCTTGTATCTTCCATAACTAGGGTCAGATGTCATCTTTCCCGCCTTTAATCTCCTCTGACAACTTTCTTCATAATTGATGGATTTCTTTTTGTGCTTCCGAGTATGGTTGATAAATGAGTTGTAGTTACTGTGGACCCACAGTCTTCAAATTTACTTACATGGAGGGCTGCACTCATTCTTCAGTATCAGTACTTTTCAGGCTTGGACCAAGAGACTCTGTGTTTTTAGCAGTTCCTTACTTTCGTTTTATTAATAACGACAGGTTTTTATCTTTGAGATAAACACTTAAGTAAGGAAATTCTGATTTCCCAAGGAAATTTTTTGAGTCTACTTGATAATTAAAGAGAACTTAACTAGTTTTTATTAATGTTGCTTCTTTTTGGTTCCATGAAAGACTGACATGTAGAGAGTGATATTTAGTTGAATTTTAAGGCTTGTACTATTTATTAAATAATGACTTTTTAAAAAAATTATTCATTTATTTATTTGAAAGGCAGAGTTACACAGAGAGAAAAGGAGAGGCAGAGAGAGAGAGGTCTTCCATCTGCTGGTTTATTCCCCAGTTGGCCACAATGGCCAGAGGTGTGCTGATCCAAAGCCGGGAACCAGGAGCTTCTTCCGGGTTTCCCACGTGGGTGCAGTGTTTATTCCACACTGACAAAGATTGAGTAGAAGATAAATAACAATATCTCATATGGGGTCTGAGTTGTTTTCATTAAGGTAAATAGTAGAATGATGGTTGGCAAAGGGTACAAAGTTTGAGTTAGAATAGATAGAGTTTGGAAATTTGTTGTCCATCATGGTGACTAGTCAATAATAAAGTATTATATACTTAAAAGTTAAACAGTTTGTTATACATTTAAATAATAATATGTATTATATGCTTAAAAAAGATTGAACTTAGTATGTTATCAAGAGGGAACTATGTATACATTTGTGGCATTTTCATTTGCCATATTATGTTCACATGTGAGTTATTTCTCAGTGAGGGGGTATTTGATAGTTTATTTGTTTTCTCTTCTGTATTTATCATACTATAAAGATTTTAATGATTTAGAAATTGGCTTTTTAATTCTTTTCGTTTCCTTCCAAAGTTTTTAAGTGTGATAGGTTGAGTCAGTCCCACTAAGACAAAGTTATACAAATGAGAAATTAAAATTAAACCCACTCTTTTTCCTCCATCTTTGTGTTCTTGGCCTATTAAAAATACTAACAAAAATTCTTGAATTAAAAATGTACATTTTTTAAAGCATACTAAAATTTTTACGAAAAATCTTTCTTCCCAGCATCATTTTCCTTTCCCATATTTGACTAGTTCATTTTTTACTTACCTCTAGAAACATGTTCATGCATTTATCTACATATCCTTGAATGTAGATAGTTTTAAAAACTCTGTGACTTGTGGAATTGTTATGTACACCTCTGCAACTTTGAAATTCAATTTGTAATTATTTTTGATATTTTTTTCATTCCACGCCCAATCCTGTGTCATGATTATTCAGTATTCTAAAACATAATGTACCATACTTAATTATTTTACTGCGGAACATTTTGGTACAGGCATTTTATTTTATTTTTTATGATTTATTTACTTGAAAGGCAGAGTTACAGAGAGGCAGAGGCAGAAAGAGAGAGAGGTCTTCCATCTGCTGGTTCACTCCCTAGAGGGCCGCAGCCGCCAGAGCTGTGCTGATCCTAAGCCAGGAGCCAGGAGCTTCCTCTGGGTCTCCCACATGGATACAGGGGCCCAAGGACTTGGGCCATCTTTTACTGCTTTCCCAGGCCATAGCAGAGAGGTAGATTTAAAATAGAGTAGCCAGGACTCGAACTGGCGCCCATATGGGATGCCAGCACTGCAGGCGGTGGTCTTATCCGATGTGCCACAATGCAGGCCCAGGTACATGCATTTTAAATTAGTTGCTTTGGTGAGAGCACTTGTAGACATTATAGAACCATTGTTGATATTTCTGTAGTCACACAAAGTGGAAAATAAGTATTATGCTAGTGTGCAGAATTTTTTAAAATGTTTTTTTTTTTTTTTTTTTACTCCCATCATTCGGCATTTGAATAAGACTAAGAAAACTAACTTTTTGAATTGTTAATGGACCTTTGTTTTATTATTGCTTATAATTAGTACTGTCCTGAAGAAAACAAATTTTTTTTATAAATTGATTTAGGGCTTTTTACATAATAAGTAATATATGGGGGAGGGAGCTGGGACCTTAGAATGTCTTATTATAAGTTTTATTTATACTTCCTATAGGGATTAGGAGCAGACAGCAAGAACGTGTACCCTTTCCTGCTCCCTGTTATTCAACTGAGTACAGATGTTTCCCAGCCTCCACATGTTTATCTTCTGGAAGATGGTTTAGAATTATGGTAAGAGGATAAACTTGATACCGTGGATCTTACTTTTTTTCCTGATGTTCTTGTCTCTCACACCAGTGAAGAAGAGGTCATATAACAGGGCTTTGAGCACTCAGCATTTAAAAACAAAACTAACATCTGCTTACCTTAACTAGGGAAAAACCCAGCTTCGCTTGTAGCACCTGTTATTCAGTGTTGGCATATAGTCGATACACTTAGAGTGCAAAGTTCAGTAAGAACGCAGCTGAATTTCGTCTTTTGGAATTTGGCATGGGAAATGGGAATCTTCTTAACTTTTCCAGATTTAAAATTGACTTAAAAGTTTCAGTGTGTTAAATGAGATGTTCTGGGGGCACATTGAGAAGTTTTTTGAGTCTTTTACTACTTTATGCATCAGGTACTGAGATATTGTATATACTTTAGTCCCAAATGCTGGTGTTATCTTAGTCTTTTTCAACTGAGTATGTAAACTCTAGTGTTCAGAAGTTAAAAAATAAAAACAACCAAACCTTTCCCCAGCTTCCTGCTCCCCCAGTTCCTGTGGCCCCCTCAGTGATATGGACTTTGATTGGCTAAGCACTTCGTGTAAGGAATTGTCCTAGAAAATCTTTTCAATTTCTTAAGCTGATCCTACTGCTGGCACCAGTTTTCTCCAGAGATGGTCTTTGAATAATATGTATGAATATTTTAAAATTTCAGGATATAATTTAACAATTGGAATCAAAAAAGCAAGTCACAATAATCAACCATAGGGGAGAAAATGTGTATTTCTGTGTGTGTAGCTCTCCCCTACCCCTTTCTTTTTCTTTTTTATTAATGTCTGTGCATTTACAGTTTTGATTCTTAGGAATTACCTTTCATGCAAATTATAAATTGATGTATGTATTAGAATTCTAGATGAACAACATTAAAACGAACTTAACGAAGTAGAGACTTATTAATGAGTGATTTGTGTTCCTCATATTCTTTTTGAGGTTAGGGTATTTGAACTTAAATGGTATCTAGATTGGTTTCATTGTAAACTAGCATGGTATTGAATGAAATCTTAATTTTCATGTGTTTGTACAGGATAGATTATTCTAGATCAGAGGTTGACAAACTTTTTCCTTAAAAGGTCATCTGAATGTTGTAGGCTTTGCAGGTCACAAAGTCCCCTTGCAACTACACACCTCTGCTATTTTGATGTGAAAGCAGTCATTGGTGATAAGTAAGGAAATGGACATGGTTGTGCTCCAAATAAACATCATTTATAGAAATATGATATGGTGGGATTTAGTTCATGAACTGTAGTTACTAATTCCTACTTACAAATTGAAATAGTAGTCTGACATACGAATATCTTCTTGTAAGCATGTATATAATATATGATGTTGAAAGTTAGAATTTTTTAAGTTTGGAGTGATACTTACCAGTGTTATTCACTTAATATATTAATGTATTTATTAAAAATGTGCAAATTTTCGATAAGATTATGTGAGTAGATAATAATACATTTTTCTATTAATGATAATTTATTTTCCTAGCCCTATAGTTATATGTAAATGAAATTAAATCATTAGACAAATTTTTAAAAATAGCAAATTTATTAATAGTTCAGATCCCTGTGGTAGGCCTTTTGTGTGACAGTAAAGATTCCTCTTGGGATACCCACATTCGAAGTCAGAGCGCCTGAGCTTGAGTCCAGGCTCTGCTGATTCCAGCATCTTCCTGATGCCCACCCTGAGAGGCAGCAAGTAGTTGGGTCCTTGCCACCCATGTGGTAAACTTGGATTGAATTCTCAGGTCCTGGCTTCAGCTTGCTCAGTATGGCTGTTGGGGGCATTTGGAGGATGAATAGCAGATAGAAGGTCTCCTCTTTCTGTCTCTCTACCTTTCAAATAAATTTAATTTGTTTTAAAGATTTACTTATTTATTTGAAAGTCAGAATTACACAGAGAGAGAAGGAGAGGCAGAGAGAGAGAGATAGGTTTTCCATCCGCTGGTTCACTCCCCAAGTGGCCGCAACAGCTGGAGCTGTGCTGATCCGAAGCCAGGAGTCAGGAGCTTCTTCCAGGTCTTGCACATGGGAGCAGGCGCCCAAGGACTTGGGCCATCCTCCACTGCTTTCCAGGCCATAGCAGAGAGCTGGATTGGAAGTGGAGCAGCTGGGACTCCAACTGGCACCAATATGGGATGCTGGTACTGCAGCAGTGGCTTTATCTGCTACGCCACAGTGCCAGCCCTTCAAATAAGATTCTCTAGTATCACAAATCAGAGTTCAAATTTATTCTCTGTTTTATTCATTATTTTCTCTTAGGGCATTAGGACTCTTGTTTGGGGTCAAACATATACATGTGCAAATTCCAGTTGTACCATGCCACTAGATTTGTGATTTGAGCAACTTACTCATCTTCTATGAGTCTCAGTTTCCCTGTCTGCGAAAATTGGAAAAACAGTTACTACTTCCTGTGGTTGTCATGAGAGTGAGATAATTTTGTTGCATTGGTTAGCACAGAGGGACAAAAAGATCTATCTTTTATTTGCTGGTTCATGCCCCTCATGGCCATAGTGGTGTGGCCAGGCCAGACTGAAGCCAGGAGCCAAGAACTCCATCCTGGTTTTCTACATGGGTGACAGGAGTCCAAGCACTTGGGCTATCCTCTGCTGTTTTTCAGAAACATTGCCAGGGAGATGGTTCAGAAGTGGAGCAACACAAACTGGTGCTCAGATAAGGGATGCTGGCATTTTAAATAGTAGGTTAACCAGCTATGCCAAAATGCTGGTTCTACAGTTTTATTTTTAAGCTTAATGTGAATTTTGAGAACTAAAGCTCCATTTTTGTAATACATTTACATATAATTGCAGTGACAGTGTCAATGATATGGACTTTTACATGCATCTGTTTTTTTAACTTGTGGGTTTTATGGTTCAAATTAGTTTGTTTTTTCTTCTGTTAAAGATTTGTTTATTTATTTGAAAGGCAGGGTTGTAGGGAGGGAGGGGGAGAACGAGAGTGAGAGAGAGTGACCTACCTTCCATTTGCTGGTTTACTCTCCAAATGCCCATAACAGCCAAGGTTGGGCCAGGTTCAAGCTAGGAGCCTTGTATTCTATCTTGTTCTCCCACGTGGATGGCAGGGACCCAAGTACTTGGGCTATCTTCCATTGCCTTCCCAGACACATTAACATGGAGTTGAATTGGAATTGGAACATCTGGGACTTGAACTAGTACTCATAAGGGGTGCTGGTGTTGTAGGCAGCAGCTTAACCCACTGTACCACAGTGCTTTCCTTCTTGACATTGCTTTATTAAAATATTTCATTAAGTTCTCTTTGTGTCGCTGTCCCCTTATTCCTCTAACTTTGGTTTGTATGTTGTAAAAAATTCTGAGTACCACACAAAATTTCGGTAATTTTTTATGTAATAAGTATTTAAAATATTGTCAGGAAGCATTATGTTATGCAGTATATGTATGCAGTGATTTACATGCTACCTTTAATTATTTTACTTGTAAATTTTTTCTGTTTGATACTTATTTTTGTCTTCTATTAAGAACACAGTTTCTGTTTGTATTTTAACCTAGCCAAAGATGCTTTTTTTCAATAAAATTGAAAAAAAAAAAGTGCAGGCCCTGAATAACATGATTTATACTGTGAAAGTTAGCAGAAGAAGAGTGACAACCTGAATGGCCTTTTAAGTGTGAGGAAAGGAACAAGCTTCAGATAGAATCTCAGTTTGGACACACTGGGAAGGACTCTCTGCTTATGGTACTTCTTAGTTTCTTTACTGTATTAATTGCAGTGGTTTTACAGTAAGTCATAATGTTAAGGGAAACAATGGCAGAGAACATATTATTACCCTGGTTCTTTGGCTCACATGGAAGAAGAATTTCCAAGCAGACAAGCAGAAGAGCAAGATTTATTATAGTGAAAGACCTCCAGCCAGATGACATGGAGGGAGGCTTCCAAGAGAGGAAAAAGCCCCAAGTGAGCCATGGCAGTCAGTTTCTAAGCACAATTTTGATTGACATTCAGTTATAAGGAAGGCACAAAACCAACAAAAGACCTGATTTATAATCCTTTATCCTATCTGGGTTGCCAAGATTAAACGAAAAACCACCCAGAAGGGTAGGATAGGTAACTTGCTTTCCCAGTAAACTGAGTTCAGGGGGATGGAATCAACAAGGCTCCCGTGCTGTTCTCATGGTAAATCTGGAGATTCCTAAGGAAGCAGGCTGGACACTTGATCTTGCTAGAGGTAACCTTTTGGAGAGATCATTCTCCACCCTCAGTTTCCAGACTGCCTATTAACCCATTTGACTGCTCATGATAATATCTGGTTAAACAAATATCTCTCCCTGACTCCCTGCTCTACTTGCTTCCCCCATCTATAACTTTTTTTCTTTGAGATTTTCTTATGTTTTTCATTTGCTCTGATACAAGAACATGGGGTGCCATATGGTATCACCATGTGCTTATTAATAAATTTCCAATATTAATAAGCCTATGTGGGTTCTTGCCTAATATTCAGAGAAGAATTCTGAATACCGGCATAAATGAACGAGGCAGCGTGGTAAGTTTTAAGCTTTTATTCAGTGAGAGAAATGCATAGGAGAGTGAGGGCACTATCTAAAAGAGAGATAAATCTGGGTACATACCGAGTACCAGGAGCCAGCCACATGGAGGCGCATGTAGGTCAGGAAGCATGAGATGGGTGGCCTGAAGGCCATGCGACCTGGAGGCACAGTTCAGGACTTCGGCCATCTTCTGCTTTCCCAGGCCATAGCAGAGGGCTGGATTGGAAGAAGAGCAGCTCTGAGTTGAACTGGTGTCTGTATGGGATGTGGGTACTGCAGGCAGCAGCTTTACCCACTGCGTTACAGTGCTGGCCCCATCCTATAAGTTTTGATATGTTGTGTTATCATCTTCATTTGTTTCCAGGAATTTTTTGATATCCCTTTTGATTTTTCTGTGACCCACTGTTCATTCAAGAGCATGTTGATCAGTCTTCATGTGTTTGCATATTTTCTAGAGTTTCTTCTCCCCACCTGTGGCAAGTGTAGTAATGGCATGGAGGTGGTGGTGGTCCCAGTAAGGCTTTTTATTATGCAGTAGGGAAATCCCATGTTTTAATTTGTGTAACACAGCACAATGGGTAAACCAACCACCCAGCGGTCCCAAAGCACCTCAGGTGTTCCTCATGACATGTCTTAGCCACAGAGGGCAGAGTTGCACAGCGTCTGCAGAGGTGGTGCGTGTGAGCTGGGAAGCACAGGTCTTCAAGTGCTATCAAAGTCTCAGAGTCTGGCTGGTGTTTTGGCTTCAAAAGGGTGGAGTCTGAGCTCAGGGAGAGCAGAGCCCAGTGAGTGCAGACCTGGCTAGGAGCACTTTTTCCCAGGAAGGTTTGAATGCGGTGGGTCAGCCCAGAGCTCCCGCTCGCTGCACTCAGAAGAATCTGTTGGGAGAGTCCCTGGGCCTCTTTAGTCTGTGGTTGCTATGCATTTTTTGACAGTCAGTGTAAAGGTTCGTAAGTTCCTGAGGAGGGTGTTTGCCGGCCATGGGTGGTTCTTATCAAGTCCACACAGACCTTCTGTAGTCAGCTTAGCCCTTATTTTTGTTAATATTATGATGAAGAAGTAGTTTAATTTTCTGTTCCTTACACTACCCCTTGCCAGGTGCCCTTGTAAGGGGATGATGGGGGAGAGGGAAGAATGTGCTTTTCCTTCACTGGATTAGGTGGGCACACTGCCCCTGCAAGGGCTCTGAGCTGAACTCAGAGTCAGTGTGGTCTGCGAGTCTCTTATGCAACATCACCAGTGGCACTGGTCAGTGGAGTCTGCTCTCACCTCCTCAGAAGCTGGCCTCTCCTCCACCCTTCCATCCCTCAGCTGTGGGAGTCCTGTGTGGTGTCCCTGCTCACTGAGACATTTTTTATATTTTTTTTCCTTGGGTAATTTTTATAACTTCTGGTAACATCTACTTTTCTTTCTTTGGATGAGGCTCTTTTTAATATTTTAGTTGTGTTAATGGAAACTGAAAGTGACTTATCTATATTTTTTTCCTTGTAGGTTAGTAACATTGGAAAACAGTCCATGTATTACACCCGAGTTGCTTCGCATATTTCAGAATATGTCACCGCTTCTTGGTATGTGTTAACACATGAACTTACTAGTATATTTGAATACAATCATAATTTTGGGACCTTATAGCCTACTTTAAATTATACCTTCCATTTTTATTGAAGTCTCTGATACTGACAAATGAATAGCCTTGTACCTCTTTGTACCTTTAAAAATAATTTCTGCTTATTAAGGAATGAACACTAAATTATATTGTATTTTGGAAAACTTAAAAAAATTTCTAGGAAACCTAACTGCAAATTAAGCTTATACTTTGCTTGCTCAAATTTCTGTGTTCGATAAATTACTTACAAAGCTAAATTATAAACCAATTTTTATGTACACTAATTGTATCAAACTTTTTACAAAGCAGTATTGTGCTATTAGATCACAAATGAGCTTTGTACACATATTGCTGTTTTAGTTAAGAAACCACCAAAATTCAATCTTAAGAAATTATGTATATTGTTTGTTAAAGCATTACTTATGAATTAGCTCTAAACTCTTGGAAGTTAATTTTTTTAAAAGGATTTATTTATGTATTTAAAAGACAGAGTTAGAGAGAGAGAGAGAGGGAGGGAAGAACAGAGAGAGAGATCTTCCATCCGCTGGTTTACTCCCCAGATGGCCACAGTGGCTGGGGCTGGGCCAGGTTGAAACCAGGAGCCTAGCACCTCATCCTGGTCTCCCACATGGGTAACAGAGTCCCAAGTACTTAGGCCATCTTCTGCTGCTTTCCCAGGTGCATTAGCAGAGAGCTGGTTTGGAAGTGGATCAGCCAAGACTGGCACTTGTATGGGATGCTGGTGATTCAGGCAGCAGCTTAACCTGCTGTGCTACAATGCCATCCCCAAGCATAATGTTTTCTAAGCAGTAATTTTGGTACATGAGACCAGAGAACTGAATACTGTTCTAGCAGAGGGCCCTTATCTCTTTTAACCTTCTTGGATGAGATCTAATTAGATTCTTTTTGCAAGCTGAACATGTATTCTGATGATAATTATTAATAATAAACCAATACTTTTTGTTGTATATCATCTAGCATTCTCAGGTATGTAAAAGCTTAAAACATCTTAAAATAATATTGTTTATAAAATTGCTTTGTGTGGGAGTTGATTAGTAGAGATTCATACCTAAACTCATGGTGTATTTAAGAAATATATACAGTGCCATTTATTAGCCCTTTGATTCTCTTTCAGTCTGCATAAATTACCGTTTTGCTTGTTTATTCACAAAGTGTATTGTAAAAATTATTTAAGTTTTTTCTATCCAGGGATCCCATTCTTCAAGACTCAGCCATGAAGCATCTTTAATTCCTTCATTAGAACTGTGGGTATACTAACTGACTAGCTTAATGTTGTCATGAGAGGGCGTTAGCTCAGAACACTATGGGAAAAGGCACTGTTATTATGGTAGTATCTGTAGGCTTTTTGTGTGCAACTTAATTGCACTGAAAAATGTTCTCAGAGGCAAAAATATCACTGAAATATAATGACAGACTGAAAAAGTAGACTCATGGTTTGAGAATATCAGCAAATGTGGACTAAAACACAATTGTAACTGATAAACGTTTTCTTTCCTCATTTGTTGGATGACCATGGTGGCGAGATAATGTGATTAGTCCTTCACGTTTTCTCTGAATTTTTTTGTTCCTCTACCCCATTTCTCAGAATCAGGTGAGATCTTAAATAATAACCAAGAAAACCGTTTGTTTTCCAATAAAGAGATTTGTTACTTATTGCTTGGTGTCAAGGGAAAGATTTCCAAAGATGAGGTCAAGGTTAAGAGGCCAGTTACCTGTTTCTGATCTATTAGAAAATGTTTTATCTGTTTCTCAATCATCATGGAGGATGAGAATAGGAATTGAATGTGGTTTTCAATTCTATACATGTTTTTGGTTCTGTTCTAAATTGGAGACTATATTCAGTGCCAGTCTGGTAATCCACTTGCTTCTTTATTCTTGATCTAAGAATAGAAACCTCCACCAGACTTAAATGTTGTTATGAAAAGGATTCAGAAGGTGTCATGTGTGGGTGACTTCACACATCCGCTTGTACTCCATCCCTTATTTAACATGTAGGGCCTCTGCAATGTAAAGTTCCCTTCAAGTAATGAATGAGGGGATTAGTAGCAATAAATAAAACAGCAGTAAACATAAGAGCAAAACAAATAGTGCTTACTGTATGCCAGATGTTCTAAACTGTAAAAGTCCTTATTGAGTTGTTAAGGAGTATGCATCAACTCCAGCCTTACTGTAACTGATGATGCTATTTTTATTGTCAGTTTTGCTAAGTGCCCAGGTATGGCTTTACCATAGAATGCTTTGTAGTTGATCTGTAATCCACTTACTGCTATGTCTACTACTACTTTTATTAACATTAAATTATCCAATCATCAACTGGCTGTAAGATTTGCTATCCCCTTGAATTAAGGGACTGAACGAGATTTAATCCATATGATAATAGATGTTTGAATTATTTATTCCCTACTTTTATCTTTCTAAATGAAAAATACATGTAATTTGTTTTATACATTGTGATGTATGTATTTATATCAGTAATATGGAGTTCTGTTTATAAATTATATCTACATATTTAATATATCAGCATTATCTTCATTTTTTTTAAAAATTCTTTATTTGAAAGGCAGAATGACAGTAAAAAAGAGGGAGAGACGTGCACTAGTTCACTCCCCTAGTGACCACAACGGCTACATCGGCTGGGGCTGGGTAAGGCTGAAGCCAGGAGCCTGGAAATTCATCTGGGTCTCCCACATGGGTGCAGGGGCCCAGATACTTGGACTATCTTCTGCTGCTTTCCCAGGTACCTTAGCAGGTAGCTGGATCTGAAACAGAACAGCCAAGACTCTTAACTAGCGCTCTTATATGGGATGCTGGTATTATTACAGGCTGAACTTCACCAGCTGTGCCACAGCGCCAGTCCCAGCATTGCCTTTGTTTTGTTTCCTTTTATTTGAGTATTGTACAACTAACTGATAATGTTTGATGTTGTAGCTTGCCAGGCACTTTGTTCAAGATGAGTTTTAAAATTTATTTTTGGAAACAGGTTTTTTATGGAATGAAGTGTTACCTAATTCTAGAATCACAAGTTAAGCCAATTAAAATCTTTAAACTGAAAAATAACACAACAGGTTTTTTTTAAAAGCTCTTTGTTGAATATATATTTCAAAATGAATACTCAATTTTAATAAGTATTATTGCTGTTATTTTTTCTAAGCAGAAATAAAGCTGGCAAGAAGTTTCCCACTTTAATTTGAAATACGTAATACCAACAACATTGAACCCTGTAAAATGTTAAAGTTAGAGATAACATATTATTTAAGTATGAATAAATCCAGGCTTCATAATCCCTCTTTATGATTTTTCTTAAATGTAAGTAGAATCTGTGAAATTTTAAGTAGAACCAGAGTCTATAACTGAAAGTATTCTGTGAATTTTCTCTTTAAATCTCTTTTATTGTTAACTTACTTAGTATTCTATTCTCATTACTTAAACATTTGACTGACTCTTCTTGTTCATTGTTTCAAAACTAAGGTCTTCTGAATGGTAGAATTTTTCTTCAGTGATTTCTTATTTTGGAAGGAACTTTTCTCTGGTTAACTTCATTATGATGTAGGCTATCTTAAAAATTGTAGGCTTAGTATTTTATTGGAATTGGAAGTAAAATGAAGAACAGTTGATTTTCTGAAAATAAAGATGGAGCAGGTGTTTGGCATAGTGGTGGGACACTGCTTAGGATGCCTGTGGGAGACACTGGAGAGCATGGTTTTTTGTCCCAGCCCACTTCCGTTCCAGCTTCCTGCTAATGTGTACCGTGGGAACCAGCAGATGATAGGTCAAGTACTTGCGTCTTTGTCACCATGTGGGATACCTGGATTGAATTTTAGATTCCTGCTTTTGGCCTAGTATAGCCACGATGATTGTGGGCAAAAATAGGAGGGAAGCCATGGATAGAAGATCTCTGTTGGTCTGTTTCTGTCTGTGTGCCTTTCAAATAAAATGGAAGTAAATAAATAAAAATTTTAAAAACCATAAGAATAGTTTGTAAAATATAATCAGACTAGTAGATATAAATCGTATAAACAGAGCATAACTCAGTATTTTGATTTATTTCAGAACTCTTGAGCAACCTGAAAAGCCTAACCAGTTAAACCAGGGTTTTCATCTGTAGGATGTTCAATAGTTTGCCTAGCCTCTCTCTGCTAAGTGCTAGTTGCAACAAGAAGTGGTTCTAGACATTGCCAGTTGTCCTGTAGAGGGCAAAGTTGCACCTAATTTAGAATCACAGACCTGAATTACAAATTTTCTGAAAATACAAATCTATTGCATAATTGAAGTATATCTTCTCCTTGTATTAGGACTGTGTAGTAATTTTCCTTTGGAATCTTGCTAGGAGCTTGTAGATACAATGAAAAATGATTAGTACCTTAAAATAGATAGTTTGTTCATTTTAGGGGTATTTTTAATATGGATATTTAATATTTACTGACAATACCATGCTGAAGAACATTGGTGGAAGTTGTTCTGCGCATAATGGAGGCACTGAAAACAGTGTAAAATGACATGATTGCCCTGGTCATTAGTTTGTATGGATTGAGTCAGGAACAGTTTTTTAAAAATATCTGTAAGAAGAGATAGACTCTACGATTTATAAAATCAAACCTTTTTAAATATTGTGTCTTTCAGCATAGATGTTGATGAAATTTTAGTTGGTAGTGATTTTGAAATTCTGTGTCCTGACATGCCTGGAATAAAGCTATTCTCAGTTCTCTCTTAAGTATCACAATGATGGCCAAACAGTTTGCTATTCAGTGTTGTTCTGTAAAAATTATGCACAAGTCCAGACTGGACTAGACTTTCTCCTTGATGAGAAGAAAATAGTATGATTTTTTTTTCTATTAGAACAATTTTATGCAATATAAAGGCCTCCTTTAACCTGAGATTGTTATTTTCTGTTGTAAAAGAACACTTAAATGACCATGTGTATTTATTTACTTAATATTTTAGTAGCATAGTAACAGGTTGGGCATTCCCTGTTCCCTCCCTGAACTCATATTTTTAAGCCAGTGGTCAAATATTGAAGTATAGGACTTAAAAGACATTTTGAGCTAGTGGAAAGGTTGTTATTCTTTTATGCAAATAATAGACTAGAAAGTCTTTTCACTTCTGTCAAGATTTGAGTTAAATAATAAACCAATGATCTAGGCAGTAATTTTGCTCGAAAAAGTTAAGAAAAAATATTCTATTGCAGTTGAATAGAATTTCTAAAGTATTTTCAACAAAGAATGACAGGATCTAGACATAGATGGTATTTTGATTTATGTAATTATGTGTGTACAACCTGTATTCTGTTAGATCCTATTATTATACATAGTTAGACTTGTAAAGCAGCACTACTGTTTATTATATTGTTTGAACAAGGTAATTTCTACTTTGCACTTAAGAAAGAATAGCTAAAACAAACATTCTTTTACCTGTGCTATTATGGTGATTACGTCCTAAAGAACATTTTTTATTTGTAGGTTTTTATAGAGGAGCAAATTTGAAGATAGCCTGAATATTCAGAATATCTAAGCATAATATAATTTTTTGAAGAACAAGAAAGCATATTCAGTCTTTTAGCAGGACTACTCATCAGTAAAGTGCGTTCATTTGCAATAAGCAGATGTCAAAGTACAATAAAGTGATTCAGTTGCATGTTCTTCATGCTAGCACTAAAATTTAGTTTGAAATTAAAGGTTGAGTCAAATGATTAGTTTGTTTCTTTTTAAGGGAAAAACAGAGAAGCTTTATTTTTCCATCCCTATGTTGTTTTAATTTATGAAAAGTGAGATAGCCTTTAGATAGGTATCTAGAGTATTGGTAGTCTAAATAGCTTGAGAAAAGATTTGTGATGAAGTAAATATATCTTAGTATTAAAAATGAATCTCTTTAAACTAATTTTTAAATAGTGAAGTAATTTGCCTTTTTTGGGGAATTTATTGATTTGGCAGAACTAAGTTCAGAAAATCTCAGAACCTGCTTTAAGATCATCAATGGTTATATCTTTTTATCATCAACAGAATTTTTACAGGTATGTTGGAGTAGTTTTTGTATTATAAGAAATTATGTAGCTACTGTTTTTATTATTTCTAACTTGAAATTAGAGGTGAATTTTTAAATTGATTGATCTGTTATTTTAAGGCTATTAACTGACCATTTGTGATGCATGCAATTCCATTGTTATTTATTGTGGAAAATATCCTATGCAGTTAATATATCCTTATATTCCTAAAATCAGTATGAATAAACTATATTTTTTATTAGGAATAATATTTTATACCTAACTTTCCTCAAGAAAAAGCGTTTTTGTGAAGCTACCCTTGTCCTTTGAAAATTCTTTTTGTTGGCTTGTTGAACAAAAAGAGCACATTGTGGATCAAGAGATCTCTGTTTCCCCAAGATGCTGGCTTCTTGAAATAAATGCTTCCTCTCACTAAAAAAAAATACTGAATTATTTGCCTTTTTCATATTGCCGATATATTCTTATGGATATTTTAACTTTTATTGAATTTCAGACATATGCAGTAGGTCTGTGCCAGTCCTTTTGTGACTTGTTAAAGGAAATTACTACAGAAGGTCAAGTTCAAGTGCTCAAGGTATGGTCAACTTGTTAAATGAATATGAGGATTTTATTTTGTGCAATTGAACTTTGATTGGTGTGTGGATGTTTGGCAGTAAGAAGAGTTGATATAATCCTAGACAGGATTTTTTTCTTTTGGTAGTAATTCAGTTAATATGTGACAGATTACTTTGACATGTTTTAAAATGCAGTTCCAGTTTCTAACATGATCTAAGCTGATTGGGATATTTGCCTATCTTGAGACCTCACTTTGTGTACAAGGATTTAAAAACTTTTAAAATAAATTGTATAAAGTTTGGTGACATCTGATACTTCTCAGTCCTTCAAATTGTTAGCCTGTTTTTGGGTAAAACAATTTATTTTGAGTTGGCTATTAACGTTAGATTTGAAGTTTGTTGGGGTGTGTGTAATTAAGAATCGATAGACTCTAAGTTATTTATTGCCTTTATATATTTATTTATAATGACTAATATTTGTTAAAGATATGTATATCCTTATATTCCTATAAAATCAATGTGTCAGTAAACTGTATTTGTATTAGGTATGATCTTTTGTCCCTAACTTTTCCTAAGAAAGAAAATTTTAAGTAATTAATGCTATGGATTTACATATAAGCATGCATTTATATTCTCATTTATTAAACTATATCTTATTTATGTATGTAAATATGTACATGTACATGGTTTAAGTATGGAGTTTGAAAGAAGTTGTAACGCTCCCCATCCATAATTTAATTTAAAGATCTTTATTGGCATTAGTTTGCTCTTCTAGAATTGGGTCACATTTCTTCCATAACATAGAATAAGTATTCCCTAAAATACTCATTTTTATTGTTGTTGTTTCTAATTTCTCAACTGCATTCTGTGTCAGGTATGACAGCTAAATTCTGGTCAGGGAAAGTGTTACCATAAAAAAGTAGCATTTATGGTTTGAAACCTCTGGCATTGTCTGAGATCATAAAAATTGTCTTTCTGTCAGTGAAGTGAAAAAGTAATTGCCCCAAGAGGTACATCAGAAGAAATGTATTTAAGTAATGGTTAATATTTGTAGCAGCAGTTCCAAATATAATTTGAAGATTAAGTGAGTAAAAGTTTGTGCAGATGGTATACAACCTTACTTCGTATTAAGCACTGTGATAGCCGTTATGCACCTAATAAAGCATAATCTTCAGTCTGAACTTATTTGTATAACATTTAGTGTTTTGTTCTTCACAGACATTACACACACACACACACACACACACAGCTCTAGATAGCCATGTAAATAACGCATGGTTAATTTGACTTTTATATTGGTTGCATTAAGTAACATTTGCTGATTATTCAGTCATCCCTCCTATGGGTCAGGGTCAGCAAACCTGTTCTGTAAAGGACCAGACAGTAAATATTTTGGACCCTGGGGCATACCATGTTTGTTTCAACCCTTTAAATCTGCTGATACAGTATGAATGCCATCACAGATGATCTGTAAATGAATGAGTGTGGCTGTGTTTATTAATACTTCACTTGTAAAACAATGCAGTGAGTCAGATTTGGTCCATGGGCATCGTTTGCCATCCCCTAGTATTGGTATTCAGTGCTTTCTTCTTCTGGGTACAGGTGATGGGAAAACCAAGCTCTGCTCCAGTCTGTTGAAAGGAGGAAGTGTGTAAACAACCTTTTTAATGTGGCATAAACAGTGGCAGGGGATTAATAGCATCTCAAAACTCTCTGGTTAACTTTTTCAAATTGCTCTTCTCTTAAAATGTTCCACAGATGATTTTCATGAGCCAATTTTCAATGGGAGCCACTGCCAACTCTCCTTACGTTGCTCTGGCAGTGCAGAAGTGGACATCTAACCCAGCATTTGGAAGAAAATTTGTTATTTTTTTGGAAAAAGGAAGTGAGATATGAGGTGGATCTTAAAAGTTGACTAGATGTTAGGGTTGCTAGATAAAGTATAGAGTTTTCGTTTGATAATCCTAGTAAAGAGAATCAGGCTAATAAAGTGTGAAATATTGCAGAGACTTGAACAACTCTTAAGAACACAGAAAATACTGTTAGGCTTATCTGTTGACAGTGGGGATGGTGATGTTATTTTAAACATTTGAGATTACTGGAGAGAGAGATTATACATTGATGAGAAAAGGAAGGTGTTTGAGATTGTTAAGCACGATATTAGTTTCTCTGAGGTGCATTAACAAAATACTACATCCTTGGTGGCTTAAAAAACAGAAATGCATTTGCATTATGCAAAATCAGAATGTTGGCAAGGCCATGCTCCCTGAATGCGCTAGAGGAAAATCGATTCCCAGGCTTTCTCTTGGATTCTGATGATGGCAGGCAGCTCTTCACTGTCCTGGCTTGCAGATACATAACTCCAGTCACTGTCTCCACTGTCACATTATGTTCTCTTTGTGTCTCTGTGGCTGTGATTTTCTTCTAATGGAGTAAACACCCACCGTGATATCTTTGTCTTATTTTTTTTTTTTTATTTGACAGAGTTATAGACAGTGAAAGAGACAGACAGAGAGAAAGGTCTTCCTTTTTCCTGTTGGTTCACCCCCTCAAATGGCTGCTACGGCCTGCGCGCTTCACCGATCCGAAGCCAGGAGCCAGGTGCTTCCTCCTGGTCTCCCATGCGGGTGCAGGGCCCAAGCATTTGGGCCATCCTCCACTGCCTTCCCGGGCCACAGCAGAGAGCTGGACTGGAAGAGGAACAACTGGGACTAGAACTGGCGCCCATATGGGATGTCAGCGCCGCAGGCAGAGGATTAACCAAGTGAGCCACTGCGCCAGCCTGCTATCTTTGTCTTAAGTTGATTGTAGCTGCCAAAGATCCTACTTCCAAATAAGAAGATCACATTCCAGAGTTAGAACTTCATTATCTTTTTCAACCATAATAAGGACTTTATTAAAAAGTAAAAAGATAAGATCTCTCTCTGCCCCTCTCTCCCTCTCTCTCTGTCACTTTACTTTTCAAATAAGTAAATAAATCTTAGAGAATCGAGTAAAAGTAGGGCCAGTGCTGTGGTGCAGTGGGTTTAACCACTGCTTGTGCCACTGTTCAAGTCCTGGGTGCTCTGCCTCTGACTAAGCTGCCTGCTAATGCGCGTGGGGAAGCAGTGGGTGATGGCCCAAGTACTTGAGTTTCTGCCACCCCCGTGGGTGACTCTGATGGAGTTCCTGGTTCCTGCCTTTATAGCCTGGCCCCGTTCTGACTTTTGTGGCCATTTGGTAAGTGAACTAGCGGATGGAAGATCTCTTGTTCATGCTCTCTGGCTCTCTGGCTCTCTTGCTCTCTTGCTCTCTTTCTGTGGCTGACTCTCCTCTGTCACTCTGCCTTTAACATAAATAAATATTTTTAAAACAAATAAAAATGAGGGGAGGGAGTTGCACAGCAGATTAAGCTGCCACTTGGGACACCTGCACCCATTTTGGAGTGCCAGTTCAAGTCCTGGCTCTTCCTCTTTGAGTCCAGCTTCCTGCTAATACATCCTGGGAGGTAGCAGATGAGGGCTCAGTTACTGGAGTCCCTGACACCCTTGTGGGAGGCCCAGATGAGCTTTTGATTTCAGCCTAGTCCTGTCCTTGGCTGTTGTGGACATTTGGGGAATGAAGCAGCAGATGAAAGGGTCTCTCTCTCTCTCTCTCTCTCTCCCTCTCTCTGTTCCCCCTCTGTCACTTTCAAATGAATAAATAAAACTTAAATAAGTGTTTAAAATGCCTTTGTGTATGTAAAGAATAAAGGGAAACAGTAGAGAAGAGGTATTTCCAGAAGGTGTCATTTGATACAAATTTGAATCACAATAGAAATTTAAAACCAAAATAATGTACTGAACCAGAAAGCCAGTAAATCGAGTAAGAATATAACAGAACTCTGGCTTTCATTTCATAGGTTCCTTAGTTTCTCTTTTAGAGCAAGGGCTTTGCTAAAGGGTGAGAGTATAAGTAAGCCACTGTTACCAAAGAAGCACGTGGGCTGTGCAGGGGTGAAAACAGGAATCTGTGCGTGAGGCATATTGAGACCCTGGGTACTTGAGCCCTGTCTACTGCCACTTGTCTGTCAGGATCCACCCCTGTTAATTTCTAAGTTTTCTCCCAGCTTCAGAGCTTACAAGTAACAATAGTTGCATTCTTTACTAAAATGCTTTTGTGATTAAAAAAAATTGTATTTACACCTTTACCAAACTGACATCGTGGCAATGGGCAGTGTATAATTCTGTTGAGGAGTTTCATCTGTCTTACACAATGTCAGCTTTATCTTTTGCTTTGTTCTTTGGAGGTGGAGAAGATAACAAGGAATTGACACTTTGGACATAATTCTGACTATTCCAGGAAAAAGTGATTGGCAGTGTGTGAGTGATCGAAACGAGAGGATATTGCTGTCATTTCGATATACTCTGTGGATTTTTCCGTGTGTGTGTGTTTTTAAAATCTCTTCTACTAGACTGTAAATGTTTCCATTATCTGAGGTTCAATAAATTTATGCCCTGTTTTCTGTGAAGATTTACATATTAAGTGTCTATACAGGCAAAGAATCATTAATTTTTTAAAAATTATTTATTTTAGACAAGAGCGACATGATGGTAGAACTCCTGTCTGCTGTTCACACCCTAGGTGCCCCCCGTGTCCAGAGCTGGGCTGGGTCAAGAACCAGGAATGCAGTCTGTGTCTTTCCCATGTGTGGCAGGAGCTTAATTACTGCAGCCATCAAGTTATCTTCCTGGATCTGTAGTTGATGTGGAAGACAGGTGTCTCAATAGCTAGGCAAACGTTCCAGAAATCATAATTTTTTTGTTATAGATTGTACATCCAGTGCCAATGCCATTACAAGCACACTAATTGTCCACTTGGAATTTTCTCCTTGACTTATACCTTGATGTGTATACCCAATTCTCCTATTTGCACTGTTTTTTTTTTTTTTAAATACATTTTTTTAATGTATTTGAAAGGCAGTTGAGACCAAGAAAGAGATCTCCATCCGCTTGTTCATTACCCAGATGTCCATAACAGGCTGGTCTGGGCTAAAACCACC